GACTCTCACAATATCTCTATGAAGTAGAGAGGGCATGAGTGGATTTGTCCACTTTAGAGATGAAGAAACTAAGGCTTGGAGGAATTGACTTGCTCAACAGCTCACGGACAGTGGTAGAGGTGCTGGTAGAATTACACCTCCTCCTACCCAGGTCTGCTCAACTCTTAGGAAATCTATCCATACAAACATCTGGGAAAGACAAACAGACCTTTGTGTAGAGCATCTTTCAGTTGAGGCGTTCCAAGCGACTGCTCAATCTTAAAAGAAGTGTCTCCCTTTAAATTCGGGGGAACTGAGGATGTGGCGTTGAATGGAAGGAAGAGTAGGCTCAGGAGGGATGCAGGGTCTGTGGCTCCCATCCAGCCCCCCTCTCCCTCATGCTCACTGGATGTGGCTGGAGAAGGAGGTAGGAGTGACGGTTACCACGGTAACCACTTCCTTATGGATGCCCATCCGCATGTGATTTCCTTGGTGGCCAGTCACCCTACCCCCCTGTAAGAGGGTCCCAGAAGAAGTAAATCCCTGGCTCAGGCCTGAAGCCCTTTCTAGAAGGATGTGGGCCAACCCCTCCCATACCCCGGCCTCCTATAATAGGGCTTTCTGGGCAATCAAGGAGAGCTGCCCCGAGGGAAGCCAAAGCAGGGCAGACTTTGTGCCCCCAGTAGAGGGGATGCACCATGGGCCCCCCGCCGGTCCTCCCTGCTTCTCACCCCCTGACTTCCACTGCTTGTCTGGCTGCCCCACCCAGCAGCCCACCCAAGCTCTGGAGGGGCAGGCCCTCAGCTAATCTGGGTCCTAGCTCCCTGAGCACCAGCACCAAGAGGTCTGTTGCTCAGTTAAAAACAAAAAGGCTTTGGGCCGGGGATCTAGCTCAGTGGTTCCACCGCCTGCCTCGCAAGCGGAAAGACCCAAGTTTGATCCCCGGTACCAAAAAAAAAAAAAAAAAAAAAGGCTTGTTGCCCTGGGCCTCATTTCCCTCTTTTCGTTGGGGCACACGGGGATGGGGGGCAGGGAGGGGTGGTTCCTAGCATGGCTTGGAACCTCCTGCTGCCTGCCACACTCCGAGAGGGCTTCTTTCTGCAGTGCCACCATCCCAACTCCACCCCTTCTCCCCCTGCCTCTAATTCTACTCCTCCCTTTCCTTTCCCTCTTCCCTGTGCCTGGGGCTGCCCTGCCTGGACAGCCTTGGAAGCCTGGAACTCACCTCTCTTCTTATCACGTTATGGTTCCTCCCTTGACACTGGCAGTACCGTGTGTAAATGCATTTCCTTGCTGGTTATCCGCCCCCAAATCCACCCAGTCAGGAGATATGACGTCACCGGACTCTGTGTGGCTTGCTCTGTGCCCCTAGTGCCTAGAAGGCAGCACACACAGAATGCTCGATATTTACACGTGTGTGTGAGTGAGTGAGGGAAGCCTGTGTCAGGAATTAAGACCCTCCACTTCTGTCCTGCCTCACTGTTGCTCACCTTCTCTGAACCTCAGTTTCTTCTGTCACCAGAAAAGGATCCTACCCTGCCATGTGGTGATCCTGTGGGTGGGAAAGGATTGTGGCCACTCAGAAGGCAGGGCTACACTTCGTCCATCATCGTCATCCCCATGGCAACTCACACACGCCTGACACATAGTAAGGCCTCAAATTATCTGCTAGTTGGGCACACCTGTAATCCCAGAACTCTGGGGAGCTGAGGCAGGAGGACTGAAAGTCTGAGCCTAGGCTGGGCAACTTAGCAACTTAGTGAAATCCTTTCTCAAAATAAAATTAAAAATTATCTGCCTAAGCAAAGAAAGAGATCAAAAGTGCATTTAAAAATGAAAGATGTTCCAACCATAGGGGCTACTGATGTTCAGAAGTTTCCTAATGCCATGGGCTGCAGTGAGGTCCTGGCTGTTTGAGTTCTTGAGGTTGCTAACCCACCTTCAAACCTTCACACAAGACAGAGTAAAAATAAAACTTATTCCTTGTAAGTTCCAGAAAAGGTGGCTTGTGTAGGTCTGTGATTTTTTTACTTTTCTTCTTTGGTTCAAATTGTTCAGTGGAGCATGGCTCAGTGCTGACTGTACCTGCTGTGTTCTCCTTTTCCTCCCTCCACCAACCTTCCCAGCCTGAAGTAAGCAGCCCAAGGCCAAGGTGGCCCTGCACTTGGCAGCAGGGAGAGATGGTTATGACCTTGGCTTGTTTTTTTTCTTTTCTTTTCCTGTCTCTTTCTTTTTGCTTTCTTGTTTTTTCACTGTGGTACTGGGGATTAAACCTAGGGGTGCTCTATCACTAAGATGCACTCCAGCCCTTTTAAAATTTCATTTTGAGAAGGAATCTCAATAAGTTGCCTAGGCTGGCCTCCAACTTGTGATCATCCTGTCTCAGCCTCTGAAGTAGCTGAGATTATACATGCCACCATGCCTGGCCCATTGGCATTTTTGAGGCCACTACAAGCCAGTATTTCAGATACATTATTATCATCTCATTGAATCTTCACAGCAGCCAAAGGAGAAAGACTATCATTGTCCCCATTTTATAGGTGAAGAAGCTGAGGTTCAGAGAATTGACGCCCGTACTCCGGAGGTAGGAAAAGAATCAGGCTTTGGTGCCTTGACAAATAGGGCCAGTAATTTTGCTGAGCCCTTTAAAGTGGCAAAGCTACTAGAGAAGAAATATCAAGGCACCCAGCGGTAGGGCAAAGCCAGGGCCCAACAGAGGAACAGTCAGGGGGCGCTATTCAGAGCTGAGTGGTGTCTGCTCTTTGGAAGCTGCCTTGCTGCTGTATGGCGCTGTCCTTCCACTTTCTTTCACCCATCTCCTATTACACTCAGGAAACAGATGCACACACACTCACTCGCGTCTGCCCAGCCTGGCTGGGGGCCCAGGCCCTGTGGCTTCTGCCTCCCTTGTCCACCCCCGGCACATGTTCAAGGCACCAGCTCCGAGCCCCGCACACAGCTCCTCCCCAGCTTCGGGCTCCTGAAAGCTGCAGAAGGACCTGGAGCTGAGCTCAGCTTTCCACCTCCCGGTCTGACTCTACAAAGCCTCCAGGAGAAGGACATGACTTTGCCTTCACAATCAAGAGGAAACTGCACCTCAGCACCGGGAGAACAGCCAGGTCACTCCAGGGAGTGACCAGAGAGAGAGGAAAACCACCCTGACACAGCGAGCCAGCAGCTGGATGACTGCCTCTTGGCCTCTGTCTGTCCTGGCCCTCTCTCCTCCATGCCGCCAAGCAGGCCTCAGTCTATGGAACCATGTTAAATTCCAACTCTCCCAAGAAGCTTTGCAGTGACCACCATGCCATCCTAGGAAACAAGAGAACTCCAGTCTCTCCCTCCCCGCATTACAGCATTACCTCTCTTCCCTGCAGACAGAAAGGGACCATTTATGCCATGTGATTCTCTTGTGGCATCTTCTCCACTAGAGGGGCCCTCCTAGGTTATTTATTTGGAATTTAAATTCTCAGGGGAAGAACCTCCCACCCCATCCAACCCCAAGGCCAAACCAATCTTTGTTTGGTTGGGTTTTTTTTTTTAATTAAATCTATAATTCCATTTGCCCTTGAAGAAAGTATCCACCCCTTTTCTGTTCACAGTGAACCTCCTTGATGGGAGCCTTGCTCTCTTGCTTTAGATCAGATAGGGAACTTGACTTGAGGCCAGTGGTTTTCTAACTTTGCTGTATATGAAAATCACTTGGATGCTATAAAAAAAAAAATCATGATCCTTAGTTCACACTCCAAGCCAATTACAGCAGAATGTCTGGAGGTGGGAGCCAGACGTCCATAGTTTTTAAAGATTCCCCAGGAGATTCTATAGGCGCTAAGCCTGGGGAGCACTGCCTTAGGCAAGTCAGATTTCCCTCCCCCAAGTCCCCTGCCCATCACAGCACAGTGCAGTGTGTAGATTCAGCTCAGCCCTGGTGTTTGGGCCACCTGGGCTCAAGGTGCAAGAGCCCAAAGGACCTCTCACTACTCCTGTGATCTTCTAGCAAGTTAGGCTTTGACCTTGGAAGCTGGCTCTAATAATTGCTCTTCTTCCTCAAGTTCATTCCCATCTTATACACAGGTTCTGGTGAATGAATTTAAGAAATACCATTATCTATGGTGCTCTCAGAAAGGACTGTGTGATTTCCATGCAAAATCCCAGTTGATTACAGTACCCCATTCTGTGGATGAGGTGGATTAAATCATTTTCCTTTACTGTGCTCTTCTGTGTTGATTTCCTAGGATCATCATTACAATGTACCCCAAACTGGATGTCTTAACACTCCAGAAATGTTCTCTCACAGTTCTAGGGGCTCAAAGTCTAAAATCAAGGTGTGTGTCTGCAGGATTGGCTCCTGCTAGTGACTCTGAGGGAGATTTTATTCATCTCTCTCTCCAGTTTCTAGAGGTTGCTAGCAATCCACACCACTCGTTGGCCTCACTCCTGTCTCTGCCTGTCTTCACATGGCCCTCTTCCTCATGTCTGTGTGTCTTCACATAGCTTTCTTGTAAGGATACCAGTCACTGGATTTAGGCCCCACCCTAATGCCCCATTGTAACTAAGGACATCTGCAAAGACCCTACTTCCAAATAAGGTCACATTCTGAGATTCCAGGCACACACGGATTCTGGGAGACCACATTTCCTGTCTTACAGCTTCCCAATCCCAAGGACCTAGCTTCTGCCCCTAGCCATAGCCTGCCACCTGCTGACAAACCCTGATACCAGTGACTGTCTCCTGCCAGACTTCCGGCAAAAAGGGCTGGTCCAGAAGGTGATGGACAAAGACCACAGCACCCAGATCTCCCAAGCTCTGCTAGCTTGTGCCTCCACTGTCCTCTGGCTGCTGGTGTCATTCATGTTGGATCGCTACATGTTCGAGTCTTGAGGGCACAACTCATTTCCCTAACACTGCCAGCCAAGACACCTGCTTAGGGACCAGCAAAGAGACATTCTCCATGAAGCTCCCTCCCCTCTCCTCCACTGGTCTTACTATTTGGCTCTGAGGTTAACTTTTTTTTTTTTTCACAGGAAATGGGTATATAGAAGGTAAAGAGCTAGAAAATTTTTTCCAAGAACTGGAGAAGGCAAGAAAAGGCTCTGGCATGGTAAGCCCAGCCCCTCTATCATAGTGTGGGGTTTTCTGTCACCCTGACCAATAGTCGTATAGGTCAGCATGGTTTGTTCCATTGTGCATCCAGCCAACAGGCCTGAGGTCTCGGGTCTTGACACTTAAAGTTTTTCTTTTATCTATAAGGATTAAAATAAAACTTAGAATACTCCCCAAGAGCATGTTAACAATATACCTGGATGTCTGGGATTGAAGAATGACCATCCTAGACACCAGGGGTTAATACCCCCCCTAAAAACTGCACATCTGTATTTCTGTGTATGCAGGTGCAGTATAAAAATTATTTTTTCCTAGGGACAGAGTCCACAGCCTCCCTAAGATGCTTCAGAGGGTTTATGACTCAGGAGCAGATGCACAGGGGACCTCAAGAACCTGTATTCTAGACCAGAGTTTCTCGGCTCTACGCTATTGATGTTTGAGGCCAAATAAATTTTTGTTGTAAGGGGCTATCCTTGCATTGCAGAATGTTTAGTAGCATCCTTGCATCTACCCATGAGATACCAGCCACACTCTCCTTCAGGTTGTGACAATCGAAAATGTCTCTAACTATTACCAAATGTCCCCTGGGTGGGAGATGGAGGCAGAATCGTCCTAAGTAGAGAGTCACTGTTCTAGACTGACAAAGGCTGGAATCCCCAGCAAGGACTGGAAGAAAGGTGAGGATTTTGCTGAGCAGTATCTGCTCCCGAGATGGTCCTGGCAGGCCTCATGCATGGAGATTCTCACACTTCTGAGCCAGCCCAGAGTGACTCCAGATCACATCCTGGTCCCTTAGTGGTGGGAGTGCTGTTTCCTTTGGTGCCAACCTGGCCCCACTGACTTTGCTAAAGCCTTCTGGGGGAGATGTGTAAACTATTGAAAAGCTAAGGCAATTGGAACTGGTCTGTTGTAATTCCCGTGACTGGCTCTGAAATATATGGAGCCTACTCCCTCACAGCAGCTCCCTCAGGGGCTCTGCGTGCCCTCTGCCCTGCTGTGTGTCTGCAGGCCAATCCATGTGTGCATGCTGTGTGCAGGCCGATCCATGGCTTATTAGCGGCTCTTCTGGAGGCAGTTTGAGAGATGAGTCACGAGTCCACCGTGAGCTCCTGGTTCAAAGCTCTTGGCAGAGCGCTCCAGTGAGAAAGAGGCCAAAGCCATGGGCTTAGGAGGGCTGAAGGTGATTCATGCCTTTGTGCATCAACAGTACCCTCGCCAACTCTCATTACTAGGATAATGAAGCCCATATTTCAGAAATCAGGGCTTCCAAACTTAAGTGTGGGATCATGGGCTAGGCAGAGGAAGTGCTTTAAATGAAAAGTTCTTCTCTTGGTCATTCACTTCCTCAAAATGGCTTCAGGGTGATTTTGAAGTTTGTCAACAACAATCCCAACTGCTATCATCCAGGACTGGGTCTTAGAGCAGCTGCTATGGGGTAAAAAGATATTGGCCTTGAAAGCAGGAGCTATGAGTTTAAATCCAGGCCCCACTTAACTGAGTGACCTGAAAAGTCACTTTATTTTGCACTCTGCAAGATGGGGAGGCCCTTAATCTCACAGGGGCCATAGTAAAACTCAACTAGGTTGACCCTATTTGTGATAAATACCTAGCATCATACTATACACATTTGAGAAGATAAATAAATATTGATCTACAAATGAAGACTGGCTAATTGAAACCAGTTCCCAAGGTGAAAAAGTGATAGAAAGGATTCAGAAAGGACTCAGAAGTTTCATTGGCCCAGTCCTAGGACCCATAAAACCCCATCAGATGCCCACAGTGGATTCGTCATTGATTAGGGATGAGGAAACACTCCCTAATGCAACTAATGAGTCAGCAGCACCCCAATCCAAGGGACAGTTTGAGAACTTCAGGAGAGTCTTACATTTAAGAGTGGAAATAATGGGTTAACGGAAATTTTAAATTCTTTGTTTTCCTATAGTCAGAATAATTGAGTGAACTCTTTAACTCATAACTCTCAGCTATGTGATGACTTTATCCTCACATTCCTTCTGGCACAGAGTAAGAATGCCTGCTGTGGTAGCACATGTCTGTCATCCCACCACTCAGGATGTTGAGGCAGGAGGATGTCAAGTTCAAGGCCAGCCTGAGCTACAAGTATATAGCTTGTATACTTGTGAGACCCACAAAAACAAAAAAATCAGAGTCAGAAATATTGTGGAAGGGCTGGGGATTTAGCTCAGTGGTTCTGCCACCTGCCTCGCAAGCTCAAGGTCCCAAGTTCAATCCCCAGTACCAAACAATAAAAACTAAAAAAAAAAAAAGAAATATTGTGGAATTGCTAGTTAATCTTAATATCTCAAAGCAATTCACATAGCTGTGGAGGAGTACTTAGAGCCTGTTTGAGGGCACTGGAGTAAGCTGGGTTCAGTTACAAGCTGTCTCAGTAAAATGCTGGGGACTCAGTTCTCACACCTATGTGATGGGAATAAGTGCAAATCCTTTGGATGGAGCTGTGGTTGAAACCATCTCGAAGGCAGCGAAGCCTTGTTTAATTACATGTGCCAAGCATGTTTAATTACACAGTACCAAGCATGCTCATGTGTCCTGTCTCCCTTTGAAACTCACAAGAAAAAGCCACGAAGAAGAGAGGACTCAACTGGGAGCGGTCCTGATGAGAAAAATGACACAGTTCCGGTCCCCCAGAGCATGGGCTCCACCTGGGTCTGTGCCACACGCATGTCGAGGACACAAAATTATTTCTGACACTGCTGCACTAAGGCCCGTAATGTCTGTGGGATGTGGTGGGACCATCAGCCCCTTTTCTCTTCCTACAGCTGTCGAAGAGTGACAACCTTGGGGAGAAGATGAAGGAGTTCATGCAGAAGTACGACAAGAACTCGGATGGGAAGATTGAGATGGCGGAGGTGAGCACTTGGTGCTCGCCAAGTGGAAGGGCTCTCTGTCCCCCGTGCCTCTCCTGGGCACACAGGTCTTCCCAGGGACCTCAGGGAGGGGCAGCCTGAAAGATTCCCCCCCACCTCGGGCCGACCAAAGAGAACACATAGGGCTTTTTCCCTGTGTCACCCAAGGAAAGAGGAAGCCAGAGGGGTGGAGACTGCTCCCAAGGTCCAACACATATTATACACAAGTGATGAACCCAGCTTAGGGCAGGAGAGAGAGGGAATCGGGAGAATTCATTCCCCACCTGAAAGATTCCAAAGACGAAATTACACATCCAGCATGGTGGCATATACTTGTAATCCCAGCACTAAGGAGCCAGAGATCTTGAGTTCAAGGCCATCCTAGGCCGTATAGCAAGACTGGGTCTCAAAGGTGAAAATGTATAAAAATTACATATATAATTGACATAGGAAATTGACAAGTATAAACATGATTTATCTATTACATATAATTTATACGTAGTTATATATACACCTATCTATGCCTACACATGTAGCCATGCTTACACATATGTGCCAAATACTCTGGCAGTTGAGTGGGCAGCTAGCAGTGTTTGCTACATGAGGGTACTTGCATTTCTTTAGAATCAAACTGCTGAGGTATAAATTTGCATATAATAAACTGTATCCATTTTCAGTGCAAAATTCTGTGCACTTAGACTTTGGACCATGAAATCACTGTCCCAATCAAGATACAGCCGTACTGTCATCCCCAAAATGTTCTTCCTGCCTGAGGTAGGCCATCTCACCCCAGCATCCACCAATCCACCTAGATTAGTTTGCATATTCTAGAGTTTTAGATACATGGAATCATCTACTGAGTGTTCTATTGAATCTGGGTGCTTGCGTTTTAAAGGAGCATCACTTCCTGCCCATCCAGCTGCCCTTACCGTATGGATTGGGAGAACCCAGAAACACTACACTGAACAGCTTTTTTCCACATTAAACAACTACCAGCCTCTGTTCTCCAGGAAGATGGCAAAATGTGACTTCCACACTACCGCTCCACTGGCCCTTTTCATCCTCTCTACAGGAAAGTTCACTCTGCTCCCTGTGTCCTTCCTTAATGTTGTGTCTTCTCCGTGTCCCCCCAGCTGGCGCAGATCCTACCAACTGAAGAGAACTTCCTTCTGTGCTTCAGGCAGCATGTGGGCTCCAGTGCAGAGTTCATGGAGGTAAGGCCAAGGCATTGCCTTCTCTTTTGGTGCTGGGCCCACCTTGATGCCTGGGGATGGTTCCAGGGAGGTACTAAGCCAGTGAAAGCTCTGCCACTCAAAATGTGGTCCATGGCCCAGCAGTGTGGTATCATCTGGGTACTTGTCAAACTCACTGCTCCAGTGAACCCACACCTTAACAACACTTTAGCTCAGGTAGTGTATGTGAATTAAAGTGTAGGGATCAAGATGAAAAGTAAATTTGAGTCAGGGCAATTGGGAGATGCCATGTACATACATGGGGGGGAGGGGAGGGGCTTTGGGGATTTGTGGTGGACATTTGCTTGTGATGCGGGAAACCCTGCAGAGAAGAACCCTGGAACCACTTGGCTCCGGGATGTCCCACCACATTGGTAACATTCTTTTGTTTATATTTTTTATTATGTTTGCAGTACATGATATTTACATTCATTGTAGGAAGTAGGTATATATATTTAACATATCTTAATTCTTTTTATTCCGTCCCCTCACTTTCATCCATCTTTAGATCCCATTCCCATTTGCAAATGATCTCCCTATTTTCTATTGTCTTTTATTTTTCTCTTTAATTTATTTATATTTTGAGTTTCTTGTATAAGAGAAAGCATGCAATATTTAAGCTTGTGTTTCTGACTTACTTCACTTAACATTATGGTCTCAAAGTATATCCATTTTCCTACAAATGACTCTTTATGGCCAAGTAGTATTCCATTATGGGTAAATTCTTCTTTTTCTTTATTCACCTGTTGATAGATATATAGGCTGCTTCCAAGATTTAGTTATTATGAGTCATGCTGCTATAAATATGGGCATGCATCACTGTAATATGATGCCTTTAACTATTTCAGGAAGATAGCTAGAAGGGGAATAGGTGAGTCAAACGGAATTTCTATTTTTGTCTTTTTGAGGAATCTTCTCATTGGTTCTGATTTTTATAGTCATTTATAATTTACCAGTTTACATTTCTACCAACAGTGCAGAAGGGTTCCTTTTCCCCCTGCAGCCTCACCAGCATTTGTGTTTGTTTGATGATGATAGCCATTCTTTCTGGAATAAGATGGAATCTCAATATTGTTTTAAGTTGAATTTCTCTGATAGGCAGAGATGGTGAGCTTTTTTTCTTGTATTTATTGGCCATTTGTACTTCTGAGAGGCATCTATTCATTTCAGTAGCCCATTTTTTGCTTGGGTCTTTGATTTGGGGGGGGGTGATTTTTTAAAATTCTTTGTAATTTCAATATATTAGTTCTCTGTCAGAGGAGTAACATTCTTGTCCCTTGAAGCCAGAGTTCCAAGGGGCAGTTTGGGGAAGGATGGAAGGACTTGTGTGCCATTCTAAAGCTGTAAGACCCAATGACAACTTTAGTTCCCATTGTCCTCTGGGTTAGAACTTTGAGTGTGGTCTGGGCTTCATTGCTCCCCTCCAAAATGGGGATTGCTGCATTTGCAATAGAAACACTTTAATATCATCACATCTAACTTTTGGGGGGGGGGTATTGAGGGTTGAATCCAGGCCTTCACACTGAACTATATCCCCATTCCTTTTTTTATTTTGAAAAAGGCTCTTGCTGAATTCCCCAGAGTGGTCTCAAATCTGCAATCATCCTGTCCCGGCCTCCCAGAGTGCTGGCATCGCAAGTATATGCCACCATATCCGGCTATGTACAGCTTTGACGTCTAAACTCAAATATCTTTTGAGTAATATTCAACTGGTGGATTGAACCACATAAAATTGCTGATATTGAACTATTTTTATATGCAAAAAATTGGAAATTCCATATGGCTCAACCAATTATATTACTAATCCTGATGTCCAGCAAAGTACCATTATTTCTTGCTATTTTTCTGGGACTCTCACCTGGGCCAGTGCGTGCATCCCTCAGAGTGAAATTAAACCTGTACCCATCACACCAACCACCTGGTGTGAAACATAGTGATTGGCTTCCAGTATGACTTTCAGAGCTGCCATCCACCAGGTTAAATCCATATCCATCCCTGGTAATCCCCTCTCTGTGATCCACTGCCTAGGGCCACTGCCCAGCCAGCCCAGATTCCCACAAGGCAGTGGGACAGGAAGCAAGGATAGAGTCAGTTAAGAAGAACTGGGGTCGGGTGGGGGCGGTGACAAAGCGTACTTTTTCTAAGCATTCAAATATGGGTTTAATGTTGCCATGCTTTAAAGAATTTTCTCCAGCTTTTCCAAGATAGCAAGATTCTGTAAGCTGGTAATTGACATTTTGGATTCTGTTCTTAGTTGTTCTCTTGCTTGTCTGGCCAACATATTCTTACAGTTGGTCGGGGTGCCACTTTTGCAAGTGTCCATTTTCTGTCTGAAGAAAAGAGGGTACTGCATGAGACCCCTCCTTTCCCAATAGGGAGGTGGCCAAAGATTGGTCTCTACTCCATCTCTGGTCTGGGAATGGGGATGAAGGCAGCCTTAATGAGGCAGAAATGCTTCAAGAGGGGCAAAAAGTTTCTCTCTCTCCCTCTTTCTCTCTCTCTCCCTCTCTCTATCTCATTAGTGGCTTCTTTCTGCATTTGACATGATTCCTTATTGTTATATGCCTTTATCTTTCCAAGCCCCAGCATAACTTCAGAGCAAGCAGCCCCCACCACCACTTCATTTCTCTGAGACCCCACATCCCGGCAGTACCAGCCCTTCCTGGGGTTATCCATTATCCTGTTTTTATCAACCAGAAACATGAAATGGCCCCTCAAGAGCCCTGAAAGCCTTGTACTCTCAGAGAGCTCTCACCCCACCGCTCAGCACAACATTTTAACTTCTAATTTTAGGGACACCTCAGGACTTCTTTGAGATTTCACAAAGCCCAGGTCTCTTGAACTCTTTTTCTTGAATGAGAAGAGAATAAGGACACCCTGATCAATAGGCTCAAAGTGCTGGAGGGAAAGAGAAGTTGAGCCTCAGAGTCCTGAGCTAGTGTCAGGCGGGAGTGGATCTAGGGTAGGAGGAAAGGAGGTCAGACCTGCAAGTCAGACTACTCGGAAAGGCAGTCTCTGGACTCTGCTCTTTGGGGACTGGGGTCCCTTCTGGCTATGCCCCTTTCAGGCAACTGGAGAGCGTGCCTCATTTCTCAGTCAAGACTGCACTCTGAGAACATAAATTCTGACGCAGGAAATAACAGCTGGTGGTTGGTGGAGTCATATTTGGAAGCCTGCGTATATCTCTTAGTACCTTTTCAAAGGTGGTTTTCCTAGATACACACACACAAAAAAATTTTTATGGAACCCAGAGTATTTTTTTTTTCCAGAAGAAAAGACACTCACCTAATCAGATAGCGTCTACCCAAGCTGTTCCAGGAATGTCTGCTCTTTTTCTGGGATTTGCTTGTGTTTCATAACTTTAAAAAATAAGGACCAAATGTCCTAAGCCCTAGCACTAATATACCATGAATATCACTGCTTTGTTTGCTGATGTAAAAGGAAGACCCTACATGAGCGATAAGCTCTGACACTCCTGTGGCCTGTGTGGAGAAGTGGGGAAAGTTGGAGATGAAGTTTAGGGAAAGGATTGGTGCTGCTGATTCTCAGATAACCAAGTGTAACTGGTGTTCAGGTGGACAGTTTGGAGCTGGGGACAGGGCAAAGTAAGGAAACAAAAGTTGAAAGAAAATCTAAGCAATGTGAGGCACCAAAATTGTCCCCATATCAAGGGAAACAGTTCTCTGGGCCTCTTTGCCACAGACCCACCCCCTGCCCCTTCCTATCCCCCAACCCCCACTATGCCATTCCCTTGTCTCCACCAGATGGCTTGGCTAAAGGACTGGGGTTTCAGAGAACTTATATACAGGACTGTATCTTCTTAGTACATTGTACTAGTTATCTATTGCTGTGTAACAAATTAGCCCTCAAGTTTAGCAGCCTAAAGCAACAAGCACTTATTATCTCATAGTTGGGTTGGGAATTTGGAGACAGCTTAGATGGGGCTCTGGTCTAGAGTCTGTCATGAACTCATGGTCAGGATGTCAGCAGGGCTTCAGTTCTCTGAAGGCCTAATTTGAGAGAGGACAACTCCACAGTGCTCATTCACATGACTGTTGGCAGGAGGCCTCAGTTCCTTTCTGATTGTTGGCTGGGGAAAGCTCAGTTACTTCTCACATGGAGATCACTTGATAGTACTGTGTGAGGATCCTTCTGACATGGCAGCTGGCTTTCTCAAGAGTGAGAGATCCGGAAGAGACCAAGAAGGAAGACACCATACCTACCTTTTATGTCCTGGTCTCAGAAGTCACACACTGTCCTATCTGCCATCTTCTGTTGATGAGAAGTGAGTTCCCGAGTATAGTCCACATTCAAGGAAGGGAAAGGAAGAATTGGTGATCATCTCAAAATCATGACAACTATGTTTTCTTGCTTCTCTTGTGTAATGATGGCTCCTGCTCTGACAGCCACAGCAGAGAGGAAAGAGGTGGTCAGACCTATGGTACCTACTGAAACTGCCTTTCTTGATCAAAGAGATGAAAATGGCATTTTCTGTGGTCACCAAGCTGTGACCTAGACCCTCATGGGGATCTGATACATGAACCAAACAACTGGGACTCAAATTAGAACCCAAAACCAGGGTGGAAGGCATCTGATTGGCCAAGAGTAGTTCACATGCCTACCTCTGGGAAGGAGTCAACCTCTCTTGGTTGACTCTCTTGGTTTGAGAGTGGCGGATGGATGGTTTCCTATTTAGAAAGGAGGGGATGCTTTTTATCAAAAGGTAGGGGAGTGGCTTTAGTAATTTTTAAAAAGCTGATTACAATACCAATTCTTCACCATCAGATGTGGCTTTCAAATCCATCAAGATAGAGGAGGAAGTATAATAAAACTAACCAAAGTTTGTTTCCGCCCTTTCCAGAAGATTCTTCCCCTTGACCCTAGCCCCCACCTAATATGAGAAGCTTTCAGAGCAGTAATAGGATACCCGCAATACCATAGCTAAAATAAGATCCACCAGATCTTATTCTAGCTCTTGTTCTACCCCTTGGTAGAAGCTGCCTCGTTACAAGATGATGTAAGAAAGGATCCACAGCTGGATTAAGTCAAAGTATGGAGACCTTGTCCAAGCAGTTTTCCTCCTTGTCTGTATAACCTTGACCAAGATACCTCCCCATTTTCTCCTCTGTGACAGTGAAGGGACTGGGCTAGAACACCTCCATGTCCCCAGCCCACTCTAATATTCTTGAATACCAAGACCCTGACTGGTCCAGCAGAGAGAAATGGATGGGAGACATGTAGATTTTGATATATCTTTGTGAATCAATCGACATTCCCCTTGCAGGCTTGGCGGAAGTATGACACAGACAGAAGTGGCTACATTGAAGCCAATGAGCTCAAGGTAGGATGGGACTTGGGAAAGGTATGGAGGACATGGAGAACAAGACTGAGGCCAGAATGACAGTGGATGTAAGGAACTCATGGAGGGAGGAGGTGTTGGGTGAGGAGCATGGATTTGTTGACTCCTTAAGAGGACTGAAGCCTGGCACTGAATTGCTGGACTTGTTACTGTGAAATTAATAACATGGAATTTGTGGGGTCACGGGGTTCAAAGCACACCCAGGACAGGCATCCTCAAGGCCATTCCAGGAGACTTCTAGCTTGTCCGCTTCCAAATTCCCCTGGGCACTTCTGAGTCCTCCATACTGGGCTCTGAGAAGACAGCTCCAGCCTCTACTACTTATTTTGTGGAAGCAGGTTCCTCCTAGGAGCCACCCAAGACTTCCAAGTTCACTCTACGAGTGTTAAGGGGTGAATATAACTGGTAGACCTCAGCAAACAATGTTGAATAAACGAATGAACACCTGAATGACAGATCACATGAGTCTAGATCTGAAGAGGTCTTTTGTGTTACAGGGATTCCTGTCTGACCTGCTGAAGAAGGCCAACCGGCCATATGATGAGCCCAAGCTCCAGGAATACACCCAAACCATAGTGAGTAGACAGAAGTATCCCTCCCCTCAGGGAGCAGGGCTTGGCCCTCAAGCCACTGGGGGGTTCTTTCTTGCAGAGTCTTTTCTTGAATGGTTCTTTAGGCCCACATGAAGTGACTCATTATTGGCATTAGGGAGGTGAGTTCATGGCCCCACATACCATTTGAGGTCCCCTCTGAGCTGACTCTTGGGCCAGTGTGAGACTGAGAGGGGAGGAGAGCATTTGTTTCCATGGCAACCTCTGTAGCTCTGAGAGTGGGTAAACCTGGACAGAGTGGGCTTTTGGTGCTGTACTTCGGCCTGCTGTGCCTCGGCCACCCCCTCTAAGAGGAAGGGAAAGAGGAGCAGGAGTCAAGTCCTTGCTGTCTCTCCCAAAACATTTTGGCCCCCAGCTTCCAGGTGACCTAAGAGGAGGCACAAGCACCCTCCACCTGCCTCCTTCCTCTCCTTTCCAGTGGGAAGGGATGGCAGGTCAAGGCCACATGCGAGACAAGCTCACAGCAATTAACCAGAACCTCTTTCTGTTCCCAACAGCTACGGATGTTTGACTTAAATGGGGATGGCAAATTGGGCCTCTCAGAGATGTCTCGGTAAGTACCTGCTCTCACTCCTGGTGTCAGTTGGGACACTTGCACTCCTGTGCTGCCATCTCCATTGCTGAGATCAGTTGGTAGGAAAAGTGGCAGGTCCAGGAGTCAGGAAGCCCAAGACTAAGCCGGGTGGAATTGGGAATGTCAACACCTCCCTTTGTCCCTCTCCCTCTTTTTTGAACTTTCTACCAATTACCGACTAGGAAGTGCTCAGAAATCAGAAATGGTTTGCGTAACTAGACACGCTGCCTCTGGACCACCTGTCTGCTGGTTCTTGCCTGGTCCCTGTCTCCTAACCTCTGCTCTAACATTTTCTTTCCAGACTCTTGCCTGTACAGGAAAACTTCCTGCTTAAATTTCAGGTAAAAGAGCCACTTTACTTCCCTTTGCCTCCTCTTTTCCCTTCATCGCTCTAAGCTTTGGCCTTCCACCCTCAAAATGTGCCCTAAAATGGAGTACACACACGCGCACGTGCACACACACACACAGGCACACACCACACTCTGGGGCTTTTGCTTTTTCATTTAATGCCTTGGTTCTTACAGGGCATGAAGTTGACCTCAGAAGAGTTCAATGCCATCTTCACATTTTATGACAAGGTGAGAAGGAACAGTGTGGGGTACCGGGGAGCCCTGGCTCAACTCCATCTGTGCTAAGAAACCAGCTTTCCAGAGGGGACCCTGAGCCATGTGGCTTTCTTCTTGTAGCATCTTCTGTTATGTGAGAAGAAAAACTGTTGCTCTCGATCCATGGCCTATAGAGCCCAAGAATGAGGTTTCTTGAAAGCCCAGTGGAGAAGAGTTATCGGAAGAGGGTTGTGCTCAGAGCTGGGGTGTGATCTTGATGGTTCTGGGTCACAATGGTACACTGGGGCCATTCATTTTCCCAGGGCGGTGGGAGTGAGCGGACCTCTTGGCCCTCCTCTACCCCTCCCTTAGCTGTTCCTGTCTGTGTGAGTCCAGTGGTCTTCTCTATAGCCAGTGTTGGGGGTAGACTTTTCTTTTCCAGTACTGGGGATTGAACCTAGGGCCTTTGCACTAAGTTACAGCCCCATTCTTTTCTTTTCTTTAATTTTGAGACAAGGTCTCACTAAGTTTTTAGGTTCCCCAGGCTGGGCTTGAACTTATGACCCCCCTGCTTCAGCTTCTGAGAGTGTGGAGGTGGTCTTTAAATAGCCCCCAGACTCCAGGAATTAACTGTGCTCCTGGAACCTCGTTTATATGAGGCTAACGAGAGTGCACTGAACTGCCCTGTGCCTGCACTGACTGGTAAAGACAGAAGTAACCGGTTATTTTGTCATTACATGATCTGCACTCCTCCATCTGTACAGTGTAGTGGGAAGGTTAAGCCCAGGGAGCTCCTTGAAATGGGTAGGAGGAAACGAGACACAAAGTCAGGGTGGCTTGGGCTGAGGTCTCAGGGCCGTAAGCTGACTCTCTGATGCACCCCTAGGATGGAAGTGGCTACATAGATGAGAATGAACTGGATGCCCTTTTGAAGGATCTCTATGAGAAGAACAAGAAGGTGAGCAAGTGAGCCCAGAGGTCCCAGAGCATGGGGTAGAGAAATGCCATGGCTTCATCCCACTGCCCTCTGATCTGCCACCACCGGCCAATGGCAGGTTTTGGTTTTTTTCTGGTCGACTCATTTTTTGTACTTCACTGTGTAAGATACATATAACATGGTTTACCACCTTAACCATTTTAAGTGTACAGTTCAGTGGTATTACATGTATTTATAATGCTATATACACGTGACCACCACCCATCTCCAGAACTTTTTCCATTTTGCAAAACTAAAGCGCAATAACCCACTAAACAATAACTTTCCACTCCCCACCGCCCATCTGCTGGCAACCATTTTACTTTCTGCCTTCATAAATTTAACTACTGAGCTACTGTAGGACCCTCCTTGAAGGAGAATCAAACCATCTCTTCATGACTGGCTTATTTCACTCCACATAATATCCCCAAGGCTCTTTGGTAGCACTGTCAGAATTCCCTTCCTTTCCAAAGCTGAGCTATGTTGCCTTCAGTGTATAAACTGCATTTCGTCCGAGGACACGTGGTTTGCTCCCACCTGTGGGCTGTGATGAATGACACTGTGATGAGGCAGTGGCAGGTTTGACACAGCCCGGGCTCATGGACGTGTCAGCCGATCTGCCAAGAGAAAAGACTCTCGTTCACCGTGCCTGCCTCTCAAGTGCAAGGTCCTGAGTTCAATCCCGGGTACAAGAAAAAAAAAAAAGGCTTTCAACACAAAGCGAGATTTTGGAGGGCAGGGGTAGGAGGAGAGGGAGGTTATTCTGAATTTGATGAAGTGCAGACTCAGGAGCTGGGAAGGAGTCAAAAGGCACCACCAAAGTGTTTGTTCCTCTCAAAGAAAAGAGAGAGTGGTGACTCCCATGCTTTTGCCTGGGGTTGGCTCTCGGGCATCTTGCAGGGACCCCCAGGGAGGTCAGTGTGGTCTCCTGGTGAGAAGAGACCCAGTGACACAGCACCAGGAGGCCAGGCCTTTGCGGCTGTCTTCCTTCACAGCCCCAAAAATGTCTTTCACGGACCAAATGATTTTGATGCTTTCTTTAATTAGATGATGAAATCTCTATAATTCCTTGAGTTGTCTGTTTTGGCTGCCAAACAAGAGCTAAATTTAATGCTCAATTTTAGGAAAAAAAATTCACTGCAGCCTCTAAGCCTTTCTTTCTCTCTTTCCAAGTGCTTTCTGATCTCTTTATCTTCATCCTGAAATCATCCCTCATATATTTCATCTTACATCTTTTTATGTTACCTGCAACTGCTCTTTCAAAGAGGTAGAAAATAAATGATAAGGACTCAAATACTTCCTAGGGAGAAGAGAATCCTTACCAGGTATCTGAATTCAGCTAACTTTTTCTTGGCACCTAAGGTAGGTGAAAATTATTTATGCATCCAGGAATGTCGGGGATCTTAATGGACTATATCTTTAACTACGGTTGGATTAATGAGGTGTGATTAGTCTTCGGGAGGCCCTGCCTAACACATGAGGTTGATGAACCCTCAAGGTACCTATTGAATCTCAGAGTGATCTGCATTTCCTGGTCATTAACTCACTAGGCTCTTTCTTGAGTAAGAAGGGCAATGCGTAGAGCTGCACAGGTTCACTCCAGATGTGGAAACAAAGGTAAAGATTCAGGTGTTGGGATTTGGAAGCAAGCCTGAAGGGTAGAGAACAGACTATTAATAAAGCTGTTTACCTGAGAGCCTTCCACCTGGACCAGGCCCCAAATTTGGCACCTGGGGATTGGGAAAATGAATCAGAGAGCAGGAGCTGCATGACTAATAACAGCAGCTGAGATGGGAAGGGAATGGCCATTTTGGAGGAGCCTACACAGACGATGAAGTTCCATTTTGACAGTGCCTGCATGGCCTGTGACAAGGCTCCTGGGCAAATTAATATTGGAAGCTCCGGAAGAGCCTGGCTGATGTAACTGAACTTGAATATTTCTCAGCAGTCCTAAGATCATGGCAACTCAGAAAAGCCTTTCCGAGTCTCAAGGAAAACTTGGAAACAAAGTAAGCAGCCCAATTCTCAAGACATTGAATCGCTTGCAGCCACACTTCACCATGAGTTTTCTCAAGCTCCGGGCTGCTGTGTAGGAGTCTCTTCCTTGGTCCCTACTTGAGTAACAGAAAGCTCGGGTGCACCCCAGTGTTAGGAATTAGGCAACATTTCCAGAGACTTCACAGCTTCGGGGAAGATGCCCCCGAGATAGAAATGCTTAGAAAGTGCCTTGGCACCAAACCAGGTCAGTCACATAAGGGAGATCCCTAAATATCAAGAAAAAGACTCCGCTTGGAGCACCGAAAAGAGGCAACTAAGAACAGGTGAGCCAAGCTTTGCACAGTGGCAGTATCGTAGCCAGTGAAGTTTATCCAAGGTGCGATTATTGCTCATTGAAAAGAACAGGTGAGCCAGGTAAAGAATTAGACTCCAGGGCTACAGGACTAAGGATATTTATGAGTTCGTCCAACCTTCAGTGAATATCTTAGTATGTATACCTCAGTTTTCTCACTAGCAGAATGGAGATTTTTTTTAAAAGTATCTGCCAGTGTTTTCAATACAAAAGAATGAGAAGAAGGAGAAAAAATAGGAGGAGGAGGAGGAAGGAGAGAAGAAAAGCTGGAAAGAAAAAGGCGGTCATTTAAGTGATGTTCCAGTATTGATGAAGGAATGACCTTGCTGTATTTCAAACCATTGTTATTTTCATCCAAAGCAATTATATAAGGCATATGGGTATTCAGTTTAATTTTGGCCTCCATTCTGCACAAGACTCTGGGCATATCTTCATGGACCGCCTATCTTAGTGGTTTCTGAAGACAACAAGAAGCCAGTGAATAAATAGTAGGCTGGTGAGCTTTTTTGTGGAAGGAAACTGAATTCTTTAAGTTGGACCTGCTTAAGAAAGTGTGGCCCAGGAGGCCTGGAAACCAGACCAAGGAGCTTTCCTGGGCCTGTCTCCATTAGTGGCTCTGAGTCAATGGACCTGGTGCAGAATAACAGCTGGCATCCCAGTGGCTGGCCTCTTCTGGTGTGCTCAGCACAGGTGCTTTGCTAAGTGTTGTTTCCATTAGTTCCCTCGCCTAATCATTGTAACACCTCAGGGAGCTAAGTACTGTACTCTTAGTGAACCCATTCTACAGGTGAGGCAGCTGAGCCTCAGAAAGACCACCTTCCCCAAATCAATGCAGCCAATAAGTGAAATAAAGAGGATTTGGACCCAGCTCCGTCGGACTCCAAAGCCCATGCTTTGTGTCCCTCTGAGTCGCCCGCCCTCAGATGAGATGGGAGAAAGTCTCGTCAGGTGTGACTGTGTAGGATGCCTCCTTTGGGTGAGGGCTTCCACTGAGCCTGCTCTCTCCCGCTCTCTCTCCCTCTGTCACCTAGGAAATGAACATCCAGCAGCTCACCAACTACAGAAAGAGCGTCATGTCCTTGGCCGAAGCAGGCAAGCTCTACCGAAAGGACCTGGAGATTGTGCTGTGCAGCGAGCCCCCCATGTAAAGGGGGCACAAGGTCTCCTCCACCTCTCCCAAACCCTGCCCCCGCAGCCCTGCCACTTCTCCCCAGATCCAGAGACCATGGGTGCCCCTCCCGCCACCCCTGCAACCTGCTCACCAGCCTGCAGAGCTGGAAAGAAGAGATGGAGGGTGGGCGGCTGAGGGGCCTCCTTCTAGCCCGCCTCTGAGCAGCCCTGACCAGGCACACAGCTCTGCCCGCCGTGGGTCACCAACTGCATGGGAGGTGGGTGGGGGCGTGGGCGGAGCTTCCCCGTTCTCTTTGCTGCGATGCATGAGCTCATCCGCTGTACAATTTAGGCTTCGATGTCCAACAGTGTAGACTCTTCCCTCTCTCTGTCCCCTGCCTCCGCCCCCTGCCACCACCCACCCCATCTTCCAGCTCCCACCCACCACCTCACTAATAGTGTAGCTGTCTTCTCAGAGTTCTGTTGTGCAGGGCATCTGCCCTCTCCTTGCCTTCTGTACTCAGTGTGCTCCTTTTCTCTCTGGGGTTCCTGTCTTCTTGTTTACCAAAGAAGAGTTTACAGACAATAAAGTGGAAACATTCTGCTGTGGATGCTCCCCCAGTTCTTGTTCAGTGGTCACCCTCTGCAGTTAACTCTCCTTGTCCAAGGGAGGGCCTTGGGCTGGTGCAGGGTGGTCTCCAGGATCACCTAAATGGAATGTAGGACCCCAAGACTCTATGGATTTCCCTCACCATTCCTTACCTGTCTCTTCACCAACCGGAGTCACTTTGTTCCATTTTGTTTCTACATCACAGATTATAAAAGCAGGCCCCATTCAGTGAAGGCTTACTAAGTCAGTATTGTGCAGAACAGCCCACCTGTGGCTCCCTTACTCCTTGAAGGGGGCCGCTTTGATTGTCTCCACCATACAGTTGAGGAAACTGAAGATTTTGTACAGGGGCTGAGTATTGAGGCCCACACCTCATGGCCAGTTGGGGACAGAGTCAGGGTATGGATCCAGCAGATGGGATTCACACTCTGAACCACTGCTTCTTCTCTTTGTAGTAGGGGTACCAAGGGGGTGTGGCCACCAAGCAGGAGAGACACACCCCCCAGCTAGGAGTTTCAGACCACCATTAGCTTAAAACTTTTCCTTTCTGGGAGTCCAAACTACCCAGAAACACCCAATCAGATGTCCGTTGATATAGGGCCACTTTGGCCATTGGATCCACAGAGCTGTTTGTGATCCTAGAATACAGACATAACTGAAAATTTTTAAACACTCATTTCTTGTCCACGAGATGCATGCTGATGACACTACCTCATTTAATCCCACAACAATTCTATGAGAAGGATACCAGTTTTCAGATGAAACTAAGACTCAAAGACAGTAAATAACCCATTCAAGATGCTGTATCTCCTAAGTATCAGAGCCAGAACTCAAATATGGGATGGTCTGACTCCAAAGTCATATGCAGAAATGTGCCTTGACTTGATATATTCAGAAGCCCCTCTGGAGCAATAGATCACCAAGGATCCTGGCCCACTTGAGGCAGATGTAGTCCTCAACTGCAAACTTCCAGCCCTGTCACTTCACCTGGCCTTGGTCCACATCCATCTCTGCCCACTTGAGATGAGAGTGTCCTTCAAGACCATTCTGGAGTTCTTCTTGTTCATCATATGCTCTTAATTGTATATTTGTAGCTTTTAAATTCTCCTTTTCTCTATGTGTTCTCTCTTGGGCGTTAAGAATCCAGGTGATTCCCAACTCTAAATTCCACTTTGTTGCCATAGAAACTAAATACCACGGCCATTTTAGACCTCAGTGTTTTACCCTCTACTTTCCTATCATCACTGTTACTACCACTGATAGTTCTCTAAGGATTTATGTCACCACCTGTTATGGAGAACTGTGTTCCATTTTTCCTCTGCCCATCTTGAATAATGGATCAACCCAACCCCAGAAAATCCAGGCTCTGTTTCCTGGGGCCCACTCCAGTGCCAATTATGCACTAATTCAGTCCAGGTCCCAGTAAAAAGCAGATGGCACCTTCAAATTATATCATTCAAGAAGGGTTTGTTCTCAAAGGTCTTTTTACAAACATGTGAGTAAAAAATGCAAGGGACTCATGAGGGACAGTGAATAACTAGAGACTAAAAACAGTGGAGTTGCTGTCACCCTCTCAAGCCCAAAGGAATGAGAAAAAGAAGAGGCAGTCAGGATCCAGAAGGGAAGAGTCATACAGGAAATGTCACACGTTTGGTTCAAGCGCACAGCCAGCACCAGGGTAACTCTCATGGAGTAAATACTGCAGGCCCTCCCTCCTCCCTACTTGCCTCCCATCTCCTTTCAGGGTTCCATGTTGTCCGGAGCCAACCTAAAGCCAGGAGACCAGGAGCTTATTGGTGTAGTCCATATGGGACAGCCTCCAGGACAGAAAGCAAGTCACGGGGAAGAGTGGCGAGTAAGGGAAAAGGCAATGGAAGACATCCAGCTCAGACAAAGATGTCGATAGTACTGAATGTATGAATCCAGAGTTCTGGAAGAGGTTGGGGCTGGAGATATGAATTTGTAAAACTTTTGGGAAAGACAGAGTCATGGAGGTGAAATCACCCAGGAAGTGACAGAAGGGAGATCTGAGAAAGGATCCATGAGCGTGCGCATGGCTGTATCAGAGGAAAGGAACAGGGCATGGCCAGGGAAGGGGAGAGAAAGGAGAAAGGAGTGGTTTCTGGAAGGCCAGGGGAGAAATATGTCTCCAGATGAAAGATGTGATCCAAGGTATCAGGCACTGCTGAGATGTCCAAGGGCTGAGTGTGTAAGGACCACTATTTCCTTGTCCAGGGCCTTCAGAGGATAATGGGAGCTCCTGAGGTGGATGTGGTGGGGTGAGGCAGGGCACGGCTGCAAGAGGAAATGAGGAGTCCCACCACTGGGCCTGGGTGGGTGTTAGTCCGAATTTAAAAGTTGTAAACCTTTCAGGTTATAATAACAACAGCTCCAAGAACCCTGAGATGTTAGCCTCTCAGGTCTTTGGGTAGAAAGTGAAAGTTCAGTTCTAACTAGCTCAGGCAAAAAGGAGAATCAGTGGACAGAGCTAAGCTATCTCCTGCATCTGGAAGGTTCCCCAAGACAACCTGACCTGAACTGAAATATTGCCACTCTTCCTGTCTCTCATTTCAGCTTTACTCTGTGATGGCTTTATTTTCTCAGACCTTTGTCCTCCACAAGACAGAGAACGTGTCCACTCCTGGCTATGTCCCCAGGGATTGGGTACACCAACACATAGCATATGTCAATAAACAATTATGAATGAGTGAATTGGCTCCAGAAGGGAAAGTGGAGCTGCCCCTCTTCCCTTAGTTCCATTTCAAAATGCCAAGGAGAAGGGACTCTTGGGTCATATGACCTCTAACCAATCAACCATGGCCACCAGGTGGCAAAACCTTCATTAGAATTAAACATGTGGGGTGGGGAGGGAAATTCTGAAGAAAGGATGGATGATTCCATTCCCAAAGGGGGGAAGTACGGTAGTCACCCCCCCCCAAATCCCCAGTATACCTTTATACTGCACTGGTATAAAGACATATATACTAATATTATGAACTAAAAGGTCATTTTTTTCTTTAGACTTAAAAAGAAAAGGAAAACATTTTGGCAGGTCTCTAAAGTGGCCTGGGTCCTGGGCACTGTGCTGACCAGACCTACTGGAAGACAGCTGCACCTTTCTAGGGGATTCTCGCAGGTGTCACCCATGTAGGTGGGGCTCCTGGCATTCTGAAGAGGTGATGCCTAGGTGTTGTTCTAACCCAAACCAGGAAGAATGTATGGAGTTAAAGGGTCTCTCTGAGTGGCTGATGGGGAAAACTGCACAGGAAATAGCAAATGGCCCAGGACAGGGCATGGCAGAGTCCCTCAAGAGAGCTCGTCTCTTGGTGATGACAGTTTGTCGAACATCGACTCCATGCCCAGTTTTGTTTTTTGTTTCAGAATGATTGAAGGCTAAAAGCCCATTAGAAAGTTGTGTGGTAAAAAGCACACACACAAGTTATTAAAAGAACAACCCAAGGAGATACCATTCTAACAGGTTTGGGAAACACATGGCCTGGGTCTGTTCTCTCCTAAGCATATTTATGGGACTGGCTAGCTTGATCCCCACACCAACACTATAGGAAAGTATTTCTATTGGCTCCTCTTCCTAGAAACCATGGGACAGAACAGCAAAGTAGCTTACCTAGGGTCACACAGCAAGTCCACACAGCAAACTGAGTCAGAATTCAAGTAGATGTGGTTTGACCCCACCACCTGGGTACGCAATACCTGTGCTTTTCAGTATAGTGGCTGAAAAGATAATAAGTAGGCTGCCTGTGTTCAGCTCACAGATATTTACTGAACACCTACTGTGAGGCAGGCCTCTTGCTAGATCCGAGGGGCACAGCAGTAGCCAGTGTGACAGTCCCTGGCTTCTGGGAGCTTTACCATTGAGATGAGGAAACTGGCAACTCAGTGTGGTATGGTGGTAGTGGTGGGTCTAAGAAAAGCACAGGAAGAGACCCCTCACATAGACTCGGGGCTGCTGAGAATTCCTGGATGAGGCAACGGAGCAGCTGAAACCTGGAAGAGAGGTAGAGTTTGGCTGGGAGAGGGGCTGGAGAGAAGAAAAGCCAACTCAGGCAGGAGAAAATTAGCATAAACTAAGGCAGCAGGATGGGGAGGATGAAAGCCCTCGCACAAGACATGGGCAGGGCCAGCTCTGTGAGGGTGCAGGCCACTGAAGCACTGGATTCAACCTACCCACTTTTCACAAACCACAGTGTGGCTCCCTCTGTCCTTCCGATCTTGGTTCAAATGTCACCTCAGTGAGGCCCACCCTAATCAGATGGAGGCCACTGAATCTTCCACTCCACGCCCTTACCTGGTGCCATTTTTCTCCATGGAATACCATGTAATTCTAAGGTATGTTTCAGCTCTTCTCCCAGTTAGACATAAACGCTCAAGGACACCGGCTAACACTACTCATCATGTCCCTCACCTGGGTGTGCCTGTTCCTTCCAGCAATCCCCCTTACCAGGTCCCCTTCCCCTCCCGAGAATAACTGAGTCTTAGGTGCCAGGCAGGCTGGGGAGGGCAGAATAATGACCTCCCAAAGGTGTGTGCCCCTAATCACCAAACGTAGTAGATATGTCATCTCACATGGCAAAGGAGAATTGAGCTTGGAGGGGGAAGGAAGGTTGCTAATCGGATTTTGGAGTCACTTGGATTCTTCTTATGGCCCTCAGGAGCACACACATGGAAAGGGGAGAATTTAAATCTAAAGTTCTGACATGAGAGAGTGGCAGGAGGGTCAGGACCGGAATCAGAGCAACCCAGTGTGAGGAAGACTTCACCGGCCATTGCTGACTGTGAAGACAGAAGGGGTGGCCTCTAGAAGCTGGAAAAGGCAGGGAACACAACCCTGCTAATGCCCTGGTATCCGTCCAGCGAGACCTTTTCGGACCTCTGCCTTCCAGGTCAGAAGATACTTCCTCCACTTCCAGGTGTGTGTTCGGTGGCTCCCTCAGGACTCACAGGGACCCAGTCGCCTACCAGGTCAGAGGTCCTACTCACCCCTGCTGGCCCTCAGATAAGGTGCCCACTGGGTTAAGGTACTTATGTACCTCAACTTCTTTTAATTTTAAAAGGAATGTGAATATTTTGGCAGGTTCCTAAAGTAGCCTGGGGCCTGGGCACTGCACTGACCAGGCCTACTGGGGAAAACAGCTCTGAGAGTGAATGGCTGCTACCTTTTGAAGGGGATTTGTTCGGGAGCCACACATATAGGCAGGGCTCCATGTTAATCTGTGTTTTGTGTTATAACAAAATACCTGAGGTGAGTATAAAATAAAGAGGTCCACTTGGCCTATGATTCTGGTGGCTCAAGGGTCCATTCAACCTGGTGCCAGCATCCCAGTAAGATGCCCCTGCTGGGTCACCACATAGCCAAAAATGGATGGCAGCATGAAAATGGAGCCGAGCTTGTGGTGTGGCCTTGCTTTGTAATGACCCACTCTCATGAGAATGAGCTGACTCCGAAGACCAGCATGAATCCTCTCTGCGAGCAGTGCCCCAGGACCTAGTTACCTACTGTAGGGCCCACCTCTTAAAGCCCTCACTACTTCAACATCGCCACACTGAGGACCAAGCTTCTTGCCCACAAACCTTTGGGGGACAGACTCAAACTGTTTCCAAGCCATTGCATCCCTGTTCAGGGCATGTGAGTGCTCTGAAACCAGCAGACATCCTGTCATGCCCGGGGAGTAGACCTGCACACACCTATGTTTCGGCAGGGGCAGGAGAGAAGCTGAAGGCCCAGGGCCTGGTCCAGTGTCCCCATGACATCTGCCCTTTGTTTCCATTCAGAGACCACAGTCTGCAGTCAGGACTTGACCACACATTCCGTTTGGGGTCTCAAGTTCCCCTCCGTAGAAATGGAAGCTAGGGATGGATATGTGAGCGCCCTTCAAATCCTTACCTGCTGACACCTCATGGCAGAGGGTTCAAGAATGGCAAATGCCACCTAGCCATGAAGGAAAACTAAATTAAAACCATAACAACATACCCTGGCATTATCCACCAGTGAAAATCAAGTCTCATTTTCAAAAGTTTTATTTTCATTTATAAAAGCATGGTCCACAAAATTGTTGTGGGTTACAGGGATCTAAAAAGAGAAGAGGCCCCCTCTGCCCCAAAATAGAACACTTTAAAGCAACATTAACAACAGTTTAAATAAACAACCAAAATGACATTCCTGCATCACTTCATGCTGTTCTGTGGAATGACTTCTAGCTCTACTGGATCTTGGATTAGCAGTCTGCTCTCAGGAAAGTAGTCTGCTTCTGGATTAGGAAATATTCTGGAAATCCTGACTCAATCTGTGGGGATAATCTGAGAGTTGCTTAAGTGATGTCAGCTCAGAAGCCAATACACATGAGTCTGTTCTTTAACATGGGGACAGTTTGAGCTCCCTGCCACAGTCATTTACCAAGAGCCTTTGTGTCCTTTTCCATTGAAGACACAGCTGCAGCCTGTAGCTCAGAAAAAAGCCTTCAGGTAAACATGAAAACAATCAAAGCACTACCTGTAAACAGAGACTTCATGACCATGGTTAATTTATTACTATGACTAATAATATGAGAATAAATTTCTCTATCAGTGTGTCTCCTGAGAGTAAAAATATGGGCAGTGAGGGATTTGACTTCCCATAGAACATACAATTTCTAAAATTTTTTTTTTTTGGTAATGGGGATCAAACTCTGGACCTTGTGCTTGCGAGGCAGGTGGCAGAACCACTGAGCTACATCCCCCCGGCCCAATTTCTAAAATATTTAATCATTTATTAATACCATTTGGCCTGCATAAGTTTAACCTGAGCAAGGCTGAACATCTGTTCTGATCTGACAACTCTTCTCACGTAGAGTTGTTTTTTTTTTTTTTGTACCGGGGATTGAACTCAGGACCTTGCACTTGCGAGGCAGACAGCAGAACCACTGACTAAGTCCCCAGCCCCTTCATGTAGATCTTATAGTACAGACAAATCAAACAATTACTTCTAATATCTCTTTGTGAAAGAACAAATCTTTGTGATTTTCCAGGGCTTTGCTGGGAAATCTCAAAGGTCATTCATTATAGGTACGAGAATATCCTGCAATTTCCTTCATTTCTTTATATCTGTCTTGGGAAGGCAAGACCTGAACAGTTGTCAGGAGAATTGGACACCAGGTTAACACATGGTCATGGGTGTCGAAGACACAAGCCTCGGTTATCCATTTAACTGATAAGGAAACATTTAAAAATAAACATATCCAAGAGTATCAAAAACACATCCATATAAAAACTTGTATACATTCTTAGCATTATTCATAATGGCCAAAAAATAAAAACAATCCAGTGCCCATCCAGTGATGGAGAAATACACTGAGGTATATCCATACAGTGGAATATTACTCAGCTATCAATGGAATGAAGTACTGATCCATGCAATGTCATGAATGAACCTTGAAAACATTACACCAATTAAGAGGAACCAGATATAAAAGCTTTTCATTATATAATCCCATTTGTATAACATGTCCAGAATAGGCAAAAGCATAGAGACAGAAAGTAGATTGGGGTTGCCACAGGCTGAGGGTAGGAAGAAAATATGAAATTTCATTTTGGAAAATATTTTACAATTAGAATTAGAAAGTGATAATGTTTGCATAGCCCAATAATATACTGAAAACCATGGACCTGCACTCTTCAAAAACTGCAGTATCTCAGCCTTTAAATAAAAGCTGCCTACATAAGCATGGCTTGCAAAATAAGTGAAATAAATAGAACTATACATATAGTTTCCTCTTACACGAAAAATTTTTGTTCTTTGTGTTTTAAAATAATCTATTCTAGGACATGACAAATTCAACATAAAACACCAAAAAGTATTCTAGTAAGATAGAATTTCTGCTATCCAGACAGTCTTTCCTATTACAGGCAATGGTACCAATCAGTAGCTAAGAGGGCAAGGCCCACAAACTTGAGCAGAGTTGACTAAAATTTAACCCATTTCAGTTTCTTAACATAGGTATTATAAAGCAACAAAAATAAAATTTACTTCCTAGGTTTTGTCCTTCATGGTGCTCTTTTATATTGTGGAACACACTGAAAATTAGGACAGGGATTCTCCAAGGGCAAGACTATTTTTATAATCTAGCTAAAACCTTATTTATGTTAACATGCAATGTGTTCCACATTGCTACTTTCAAATGGATCAGCAAATAAATATTTTAAATGTCTCCCTTTTAATTTCTAATGCAGCAAATATCAATAGGCTTAACCCACATAAACAAAAGCTCTTTGGGTAATTTCAGGAAGTTTTAAGCCTATACAGGGGAAGGGCCTATCTTAAAACATAGCCGAGTGAGAAAGAAAAGAGAATCAGAAGTGGTAGAACAACACTATCTATGTGAATTAAAGGTGTCCGTACACAAATAGCGCTCTTTGTTACAGCAGTAAAGAAAGATATACAGTGAGATAACAGATCAGTTTCCTACAGTGGATGGCAAGATAGGTACAGGAATGAGAAACCAACCATGGATCACAATCTGGCATGAACTGTGTGCTTAATTCAACCCTCTGCGCTGGAGTTCCATGCCTTCCCCCTAAAAAGAATCCTGTTAGCTCCCCAACCCTGCTGGCTCCAAGAGCCCCAAGTGCCCAGGACAAAGTTGATGCCGACACTCCACAGAGCCCCTCCCCTGGGCTCCCAGCATCTTGCCTTCCTGCCCAGGTCTCATCCTGGGATTTTTTTTTTTTTTCCCAGCAAACCCGCAGGAAGTAAGAGCCAGGAGAGTTGGCTCCGAGGAGCAGCACCCAGGACAGGGGAGCCGGTTTGGGCTGGATAGGATATTCTGGTAGGAGTGGTGATGAAAGCCGATGGGCTATTTATAGACCACTTACCTTGACCAAAGGATCTGTTCCATTGTGCAGATAGAGTGGGAGTGTTGGCTGGGTGGGGAGCGCCACAAATAATGCAGAAATAGGCTGGAAGTGACGGAAGTGGTCAGCACAACAGTGTCGTGCTTTCAGTGGACATTTTAAGGTACGTGAGTGAGAAAGCCACAAAACCCAAGGTGACGGGGATGGACGAAAATTGGACTTGGAAGGGACCCAAAGAATGCAGAGTGGGAGAGAGGGTATAGCAGAAGCCAAGAGAAGAAAACTCCTCCAAAGACTAAGTCATCCACAAGGTCAGTACCACTTGCTGCTTGTCAGAGAAACACATTCACCTCAGACATGAAGCTGTTCACTAAGAACTTTTTTTTTTTGAGCATTGCTACAGGCCATGCATTGCACGCACACGCTGAGGGTCAGAGTGATCCGGCCCCACAGAGCCCCGCCTGTTGATCAGCAGATCACAGCACCAAAATCCTTGCCTTCTGGAATCCCATGCGGCCTCTCGTCCGTCCTGCCCATCCTGTTCTGACAGCCCCTTAGTCTCATTGTCCACCACTTCCTCTCTGTTCTCAACTCACCCTGACAGCTCCTTCTCCCTCCATTCCTGAGGGCTGCCTTCCTCACAGCTTCCCTCAGTAATCCAGCATGGACCCACTTCTGCTCTGAGCCAGCCCCTTCAGAGCCAAGGGAGTGATTTGTAGGGTCCTGCGCTAAAGGAAGAGGTGGGACCCCATTCAGAAATTAAGAATTTCAAGTCATGGGCCGGGGATTTAGCTCAGTGGTTTCACTGCCTGCTGCGCAAGTGCAAGGACCTGAGTTCAATCCCCGGTACCAAAAAAAAAGAATTTCAAGTCAGGAACAGCAGAGAATTAAACCAAGCCCGTGACGTACGTGACCGCACCAATTTCAGGGTGCAGATTCCTGAGGCCAGCCTGCCCCTCTTGAATGCAGACAGAGAAATGAGCCCCCGATAGCCAGCCCGACAGCCCTAACACCTCTGATGTGAACAGGGGACAGACAGATCTGTCTTAGTAAATGCTACAAAGCCACCTAAAATTCTCACCAACTCCCCTCAGAGGCAATTGCTACGATTTGTCAGAGAGGAAAATATAATCAAGGTTTCTGAATGCTAATTTTAAAAACCAAAGGAAAGTTGTTAAGAGTCCTTCCTAGTCACTAACCCATTCTCTAAATCAGAAAAACCCCTGGAGTTCACTGCAACTGGGGACGCTTGAGAACCCCATCTTGCTTCTGACATGGTGACTGTGGGACATGGGGGGCATTACCCTGGGCTTCCTGCAATAGGCAGAAAGGATAAGCCAAGGGGGTACAAGCTGTTCCCAGAGAGGCAGCCTAGGGAAGGGACTCCCCATCTCACCTTGTGATCCTCTGGAAGGCCTGAGGAAGGGACTCCTCCAGACTTCCTCTCCTATATGATTTTTCTCAGTACTGAGTGCCACAAATATCACTGAAGTCAGGACTCTTAAGAAGATGGGAGGTTTCATCGAAGACAGAGCAGTGAGAACCACAGCCTGGTTTGTTGTTAAGGAGGTAAAGAGCCAAAGGCAAGAATGAAGGCGGAGAGAGAAATGGTCAAACAGGCCAGCAGCCAGAGATCTGCAGCACCATCCCCCCCACACCCCCCCAGGATATCCCCCAACCAACAAGAGATTGGAGTGAGTGTTAAACACCTCCACCTTCTAGTCCCACCAGTTGTTGCTCACACCACTCTGTACATGCACATTCCCTTGGCATTCAACATGGTCAGAAAACAGTTGAATTTCAGGGTGACAAAATACGAAACCTGACAAGTCAGATCATGATCCCAAGCGAACATTGTCCACTGTCTTTCCAAACAGGCACCCTGTTCCCCTCCCAACAGAGAGATGAGGTATCACTGTGCCATTGCAGGAACCGCAGGACAGGAGCATAGCCAAGAGAAACCTCACACAAGCCTTTAGAAGTCCATCCAGGACTGGCAGTCGCACTGCACTCACCTCCAGCCCAGAGCGCAGGGCCCTGATGGGAGGCGGGTCGCCCTCCTGACATGGCAGCCATGCCTCAACTACCTCGTCTTCGTCCCTCCAGGGGATGTGACCATGTAGCCTCCTCCTGAGCTTGGACTTACTTGAAGATTTTCTGCATGGAAGTAATGTCCCCTCAGCAGGAGATTCTAAGGGGATAGCACCCACTCCTCCTCACTGACAGGAGGCCCGGGCAACAAGAAGAAAATGAAAACACTACCAGAAAGGAGGTGTGCTCTGTCTCTTATCTTGGATAATACCCTCCAAAAACAGCCGAGCACTTGAGAAAGTCCTTATGCTAGCATGGACTCTGTACATTTCAGTCATCATTTGTGTGCTACAGGAAGACTCTGACTGACGGTCAGGTAGAACTCAAAAAGGCAGAAGTAGCATCTTTCCTTATTCAATGACCTGCTTATTAGTCAAAATCAAATTAACAATCACTTTAAGATGTGGACAGCAAGCTGTATGGATGAAGCGGGAGCTGGATAAATTTTATTGCCACATGTGATATAATAAATGTGTATTTTTATATTTGCAGAAACTGCTGCTAACTTCTAAAGTTGTTTTGTTTCCAAGGCACTGATAATGGATATGTACGAAGTCCTTGCTCTCTGTTAAATAAAATACCATTCGGGGCAGGTTGTGAGGGGGTATGAGCAGCAAGTCAAGCTTCTGCAACACAAAACAAGGTCAGAAAGAGACAAAGCAGCCACAAAAAAGATTCAGCCTTCCAGCCCAGAATGAGAAGCTCAGTCAACTCAGCAAGACCTGGAGGATCGAGCAAAGGAAGAAAGGAGGCCTGGTGCTTTTTCTGCAGTGGCGATTTTCATTTGGAAAGTGCAGGCAAAACTGTGCCAACCCCTGGGGAGGCCACTGGGAGCAAGTGGCGTTGGCAGCAGACAGCTGGCCAGGAAAAAGAAAGAGAAGAAGCTGCTTGTGGGAGTGAGAATGAACAAAGATCAGACCCAAGACCCGGAGAATAAGTTAGGAAAACAAGAAAGGTCTGATAGAATTCACTGGTCCGGTCTTGACGGGAGCACCCAGGAACTCTGCTTCCTGGCACAGGAGGGTCGAAGAGCTCTTGCCACACGGAAGATGGGAACTTCCAACTTAGAACACAAAAAGGACCATTCAACAATTGTGCCCCAGAGCAGCTCTGAGCACCAGCAGTCATTATAGACTTCCTGAAGGTGTCCTATACCCCCTCAGAGTTCTGGCCAAGCCCCAGAGTGGGGCGTCTCCCCAGGACCACCACCCAACCAATCTGCAGTCTCTCTCTTCAAGACCGGAAGCCCCACACACTTCCTATCTGCCACAAGCAGGGAGCCCACCAACAGGTACAAGAAACTCTTCTCCTCCGAAAAGCTAGATGCCACAGGCTACCCATCTACATTTCCGCAAGTCTTGTGATCAAGACCCATATGGCTGTCCTCACCAGAAAGACCATCACCCCGACAGGAGGACTTCCTGCACCTCCCTTGCTTCCACCCACTGCTCCCTTCAAACTGTCCTGAGAAGACACAATCTGTGCTTTCCTAAATAAGAACATCTGTTTACCCAAGATGATACATGCGAACCATGGCCTGAGGTTTGTTATTAAAAAAACAAAGTGTTTTGACCAGCATACAGACTACCCCCCGCCCAAGCTGTTTCTTCTGACCACAGCAATGAGTCCCCCTCACTGGAGTGCTGAGCATGGACAGAGGACAGCACTGCTGAGGAAGCGCCACACCTTGTCTGGGGCTCACCTGAGGCCTCTCGTGACCTCTTCCCTGTGCTTTGCTGAAACTCTTTGCTTCTGCAGATAAAGTGCATAAAAACCACTATGCCAGAGTGTCAAAGAGGAAGCAGTGCAGCTCCTGAAGGGGGCAAAATCTCAGGTCAGTCCAAACATCAGCTTCCTCTGGTCCTCAGCATCCATCCTTGGCTCTTCTAAGAGAGAATCATGGGCTTGGGGCTGCACCAGAAGAGAGAAGGATGTTCTCAAGCACAGTGCGAGAGGGCTGCACACTGTTACTGAAGGTTTGTACCACAGCAATGCTCTGTGCAGTATGCCCAGTTTTAAGAAATGTTTTCCCAGAAGAGCCATGTACAGTGACTTCCAAGCCCGATACCTCAGCTCTGCGGATTATCACATTCAAATAGAAAGTCAGACTCCGATACCACACATCTGTGATGACCTGCAGTATGCATGTGATCATCGTACAAAGAGTTCCACGGTGACAGCCGCACTTGCTCTGCAGACAGCCCCTTCAACATATAGAGCAGCCAGCAGCACTGCTGGAGTACATGCGCCTTACCCACCCCAATACATCTATGTGTGCTACATTCGTTGTGACATGGTCACACTATTGCAAGACACTGGGTAGAATCCTCAGTGTCAATCACAGGGTCAGTTGTGTAAATGATGGCCCACATCCACAAAATCAAAAAGGAGGCCCGCATGACCATACTCAGTAGTGAAATACACCCCTGAGAACTCAATTGCATGCTCTTAGTTTACACCTGTGGTCTTTGACCGACTCAAGGCAAAAGCTCATACCTGGTTCCCTTATGCTAAGACCCAGAGGAGCTTTTGTTGCACCAACCACATTTCCAAGGCTTTATTCCATTGCTCTGCCCCATGTATCAGAGGCAGGGAGAAGCTACTGTGCTGTAAACCCACCACTGCAGGCCTGCACTAAAGTAAGCTCCCCAAGGAGATTAGGCAAAAAGCTTCCAGGAATGGAGGAGCACGCTTTGATCCTGAACACCAGCACATCCCAGAGATGGGATTACTGGGGAGATGACAGCACTGATGTATAAGAAGCCACACAAGAGAAGAGCAGACCCTGACTCGTCTAGGGAGGATAATTCAACATAATAAAAAGCATCAAAAACCAATATAAGGGCCCCAAAAGGAGTTTGGCCGGCCCTTTTCTCAGAGTGCACTCAAACCACCACTTAAATAGGGAGCACCTCAAGTGCTTCCACCTCTTCTCCCCACTTTGTTTCCTGCCAAGCGCTGTCCATAGGAGCCTTCTCTGGTGTCTTCCTGAGCAAGGATTCACTAACTCTTGGGTCTATCTCGAAACAAAGACAGTCACCTCAAGATCTTGTTTCATTGGAATTCCTTGTTCCATTTTCACTGCAGCTCATCTTTTACCTGACAGTTTAAGGTGTATAAAATCTATGTTGCATTTAATGCTGTGGGGGAAAAAAACAACTTGAAGTTTGAGTAATAAGAACTGTTCCGTGTGACTTGGCTCCCCAGCCAGGTGTGAAAACCACTGCTTTATTTCAAACAGGGCTGGAGTTTGGAAAGTCTGTAGTGCTTTCCCAGGACTCTCTCTGGGTCCTCCGATCAGTGGACAGAAGTAGGCAGAGATTAGCAGGGCTCAGAAAAAGAGAGGTTGTTACATTTTGCCACAGCAGGCTACAACCACTTCCAGAAGGCCCACCCCACAGGGAACATGGCGAGCCAGCAGTTCTCCGTCTGGGATGATTTTTGTCCCACTCTCCCTCTCTGGGGACATTTAGTAAGGTCTGGAGACAATTCTCATTGTTAAACACAGGGCAGGGGTAGGGTGGGGAAGTGCTGCTGGCATCTAGGGAGTAGACCCAGGGATGCTGCCGCTCACCCAACGAGACACAGGAAAGCCCCACACACATGACAAAATATCATTTGGCCCCAAATTTCAACATTGCCAAGACTAAGCAACTGTGGTCTAGAATACAGACATTTGAGATCCCTGGGTATCCACTTGGAGTTATCAGCCCTCTTAGCATCCTAGCTAAGTTACAGGTCCCATCCCGGGGGGCAGGGGGAGCAATGCATTTACTATGGTTGTAAATATGGAGACTTCGGGTTTGAGAGAGTTCATGAATCCCTCATGTCCACTCATCAACACCTCTCAATCTGAAGACACTCAGGGATATTGAGGTCGTGTCCTCTTTAGGGATTAGCCCAACTGCTTTTCCATATTTTTATAAATAAAAGGAACCCTGTTCAAAAGAACTGTTCACACACATCACGCCATTTAAATCGCACAGCCATCCAATCAAGTTGGGACTGTTGTGATCTCAGATTGGGCCACAGGGTGGATTAGACAACTCTTCCTATGTGACACAGCTAGCATGTGTCGAGGCCACAGGAACACCCTGGCTCTCTGGGTTCAGAGACCATTCCAGGAACCTGCAGTGGGACCCTGGCCACCCCAGGAATGCTCTGACCCAGTGGTTTTCCACGTGGCTCACACAGGAAGCACAGAGGCTGAGCCAAAAGACGTCCCTGGAGACCCCAGCCAGCGCTCCCCACTGCTGCCCCTGGAGGCAGACCCGGATGTGGATGTGCACAAGGATGTGGACGCCTCCAGGCCAGGGCCAAGGTGGTGTCCTGCAGATCCCAGGCACTTCCCAGAAGCCAGTCACTGCCCCCAATCTCTCTCAGGAACAGGTGTCCCCAGGCCCAGCCCTGGAGGCTCACAGCTCCTGGTGGGAGACCTCATCCTCTGTCTCCTCCTGGTCCTCTCCAGCCATGCACACCAAGGAGCGGAAGCAGCACACAGAAGCTTGATTCATGGCGCCAGCAGAACTGCTCCAAGACCCACGCCCTGTGCGTTTACCATCACATGTCAACCTGCTCACTCAGGGCCTGCCAGGCTCCTCTCTGTGTCCCTGAGAAGACAGCTGTCTGCCATCATCTGAAAATGAAAGAAGTAAGAGTAACAGCGAAGCCCCGAGGTTTCTGTGATTTCCCTCCTTCAGAGCTCTTCTTGTTCCCCTTGGCCTCTCTGTGCTTTTGTTTCATGACAAGTGACTGCTCGTGGGCCAGGCCGGCCAGCAGCCATGCCATGCAGGAGCCAGCACTTGATCCTCCTCTGGCCTTGGGAAAATAGCCTGGCATGACACCATCACATCTGCGGAGGCCTGTGACAATTAACGAACCACATTCAACCAAACTGCTGTGTTCAGAGGTGCATTTTTCTTACAGTTTGCAGATACACATGTGCAAATGTAGCAATTTTTGTGTCTGAAAACAACAGCCAATGGGATTTGATAGGTGTCACCCGTTTGCCAGGCCAATTATTTCAATGAGTAAAACTTTGTTCTAAAGCCAAGCTTCTTCCCCCAGCACACCTTTGCTATTCCTCTCATCGCCTCCTTCCCCGGACAAGTCCTCTCCTGGTGTCTGATGTGCATTCTTTCTCTAGGGATTTCTTACTGTTAGGGGACAGTTATGTCACCAGAACCAACCGGGCATGCTGTCTGGGGCATTTTGGCAACTAGAAGAAAAGACATCATCTGCCCATTCCTGGGCCCTCTTTGGGTGTTCCTTAGGAGGGTCGGCATCCTTCCTGGCCTGGATACCTCTTCCCTCCCATTGTGTGCCAGTGGCTTTTGGAAGGGGATGGGAAGTGCCCAGCTTAGGACTAGGGCCTGAGGGCCATGTGAGCCCCCAGAGCATGGGCCCAACTGCCCGTCATCTGGACAGCAGTACCACAGTGATTGGGGTCTGTATATCCCAGAACACACTGCAAGGGCCAAACTCCACCATTTGAGAGGGAGAAGAAGGGATAGAGGGGGAGGTAAATGTATTAATGTCACACAGCTGGGCCAGGCATGGTGCTGCATGCCTGTAACCCCAGCGCACTGGGAGGCTGAGGCAGGAGGAAAGTTTAAGCCCAGCCTGGGCAACTTAGCAACTCAGTGAGACTCTGTCTCAAAATGAAAAATGTAAAAAAGGCTGGGAATGTAGCTCAGTGTGAAGGCTTGGGGTTCAATCCCCAGTGCTGGCAAAAACAAAAAGATCACTCAGCTGGTTGGGAGCAAGACGGGAACTAGACCTGTGCCCATGGCCCAGGCCACTTTGAATCTTTAGAACTTTCCTACTCCATCCCACAGACAATGGGTTATGAGAGTGGGGGTCTCCACACCCCTGTAATTCGGCAGGGGAGGGGTCCACCACCAGGGCCCCCGGCTCTGGGCAAAATGGAGACTTGGAAACCAACACAAGAATGCCAGGTGGGGCCAGAGTGCCCCCTGCTGGCTAATTCCTGAGTAACACAAATCCTAGTTGGTGTCTAAAGGGCTTGCTTGGGGTTGGGGTTGGGGCTGCCTCCTTGGCAGTTTCTCCTTCACTCTCTACCACTCCTTGGGAATCCCCAGGATCCCGACTGATGGAGAAATCATGCCTGCCATTTGCAAAGCATTTTTCCTTCTTACTGCAGCCTGGAAGTACACAGAGCACTCGGCCTCAGCTCTCCGTGGCTGTCTGCGTGCTGGCCACTGGGACCTGAGTTTGGGAACCAGAAATGACCAGACACTTTTCAGGCCCCTGTGGGGTTTCCTGAGGGAGGCAGATGACCAAAGAACTGGGGGGGGCCAAAGATTTTACCAAGATGAGGGCAGCAGGCTGGGCTGGGGACACAGGACCGAAGACCAAGGAAATCTATCAGAGGGGCCCTAAGAGTGGAGAAGAGATTTGAGCCAAACTGTGAAGAGAAAACAGGCAGATGTGGCAGAGGGGAAAAGCCATTTCTGGGGGGAAGAAAGGCAGCCAGTGAAAATAAGAAAAAAGCAATAAGGCAGCCTCCTTATTTCCCCCCGACTCAACTATGTCCTCTTCCTCCCTTCCTCATGTTAACTCACATGAGTCACAGGCCCTCTTCACCTCAGGAATTTGCCCATCTCCCCCCACAAGACCACCCCCTCTGGCCATGTCCTCATCTGGTGGGTGAGATTCCTATGGTGCCTCCAGCACTCACACCTTGACCCTGCCGGTGAACATTTGGTTTCTATGTTCAAGCCTGCCCACAGTGGGACACTTGAGAACTCAACACATGAAAAAAATGCCTCTTACAAACCAGCTGTGGGAGACTCAGCAAAGTCTAAACCACCCTTTGCCCCTAGGACAGAGCAATTGTCCTTGGGGAAAAGAAAAAGTGCAAAGGGATTGTGCCTGGAGAAGATGCACAGTGGGTTCAGGGGCAGGAGCATGTCACCCTGTGCCATTGCTGCAAGAGGAGGTGGAGGGACGAGCCCCATAGGCAATGGCTTTGGATTTGCTTGAGTGGTTGGGAAAGAGGACTAAAGAACACATGCTTGGAGCAGGTGTCTCATGACTGTAGTTGGAACTGTGCACAGAAGGAATGATCAGGATGGGGAGGTTGGACATTCTGACCATGATGAGGTCGAGGTTGGAGCAGGCTGGGGACACAATTAAAAGTGTGTTTTTAAGCCGGGTGTGGTGGCACACGCCTGTAATCCCAGCATTCGGGAGGCTGAGGCAGGAGGATTGCTGCAAGTTCGAGGCCAGCCTGGGCTACATAGTGAGTTCAGGGCCGGCCTGAACTACAAAGGGAGACCCTGCCTCAAAAAACAAACAAACAAACAAAAAAATGCGTGTTTATAGAAGACTTCCAAGGCAAAAGTTGTCTCTGTCCCACTGTGGTGTCTGCAGTCAACCAGGTTGGGGGATAGGAAGCGCTGCCGCCATGGCTGCTGGGAGCTGAGGACCCCTGCTCTCCGGGCTGCCTCCCCAGCCCTCAGGTCTGGCCTCTCCCCTTCTGAGCGGAAGTCCTCCTCCCTGAGGAGTGAGCAAGCAGTGCCCAGCTAACAACAGGCCCCAGGGAGCTTCCCAAGGGTGGTCTTCCTGAGGATGAACGCACTCTCAGCTTCAGGGAAACAGGAGTTGAAATGGAGAATGAGGAGGTTCCCAGGGGGTGAGCTGCCACCCTGAATCTCCCACTCACCTGCAAAAAAGCACTTAGTGTCCAGGGCTTCCAACAGCCACCCCAGCCCAGCCAGTGAACAGGAACCCATCCACTTTCCTGTGGAGTTGGTATGAGGGGTCATTCAAAATCCAAACACAGATATGTCCAGCCCTATATATGGCCCCTCTGAGCACCCGTCCAGCTCTGACCAATGGGTTGGCTTGGCAGTCTCAGCTGCTCCTTCGATGTCCCTCTTCCTGGATTGCCCCTGCACTTGGCAGACCTAAAGCTTTTCCATTCATTTGGGCTACCCCTAGGACCCTGGAACAGAGACCTTTGTTTAAAGGATTGTACCCAGCACCAGTGCCGGGGGGGCTGTCTTATGGAAGGGTGGGTCCTGGGGTCCCTGAGAAGCCCTGTTTACTGTAGGCAGCAGTATTATTTCCTTTATTGTTCTAATTCTGCAGTCTCTAGCAAGAAATTTGTTTGAAATCCCATGGAGAGAGCACAAAATGGCCACAAGGGGGCAGTGGAGACAACCACCTCACCTGAAACCACGAATTCGTTTTAAATTATGAGCCCATAAGATGGGATTTAAGGGGCCTGAGAAGAAACTGGAGGAGGGAAGCACTTCTCAGACCTTTGTAGTATTCGGCCCAGAAACATCAGACTAGATTCTGTGTAATGCCATGCCTGGTTCAGGGACACCCGTGGGAAGTCAGTTGGGAGGTCTCAGGAACAGCACCCCCAAACCTTCTAAATCAGAACCCATATTTACCAGAAGCTGCAGGGAATTCATGTGCCCATTAAGGTCTGAACATCTTTTGGTCCTAGGTACCAAAAGGGCACTTGGGAAAATCTGGCCCAATGGTATTTCTACAGTTTATAGACACGTGGGAGCCCAGAGAGAAGAATCCATTGCTCAGGGGCATTGCCCCATGTGTCCCATCAGTGGGTTAGCATAGACCTCGAGACCCTGACTCCAACGCTCCTTCCCCGAAGCACATTGCTCTTCCAACTCAAGAGCCGGGCCTGGGCACAGGATGCCAGCAGGAGCTTAGCAGGGTCTTGGGACTTCCGAGGGGTGGTGGCGCTATTGTGCCGAGCTCAAGGAGCTTCTGTGTCCATGAATAATTCAGGACAGGCCCACGTGGGACTAGCTAGCACAGCTTCTCACCCGGGGCCATGCTGGGGATCACCTCTAAATCCTGAAAAATAGAGACAGGAGGAAGAAGAGGATCAGCATGGATATGTAGCCTAGGAAGACTTCCTGTGGGCAGGGCTAGTATAGGAAGAGGGTGGGGTAGAGCTTCCTGGCTGGTGGAGGAAGGGGCCACATTTTGGACCAAAAGAACAAGATGAATGAAGGGCATTTATAGAGCAGGTAAGGGATCTGCCTGACCAAGTCACCCTGTAAGGCTTGGGCACCAGTGGGAGATAAAGCTGGAAGCTGGGATGGATGGAGGTTCAGAGCACGTACAAGGCTCCAAAATCAGGCAGAGAACTTTTATCCAGGTGGAGCTGATTCATAACTGGGCTGGAGGCCACAGGGATTCACAGAAAGTCTTTAAGCTAGAGAGGAATCTGGGCCTCGGAAAGACCTTCAGAGGTTGTGCTGTATTAGACAAGGCACGACAGAGGAAGAGCCTGCAAGAGCCCCGACTCCAGGAGCTCGCTGAGGATATGGCTCAGGGCTCGTTCATCTTTAACTCACCAGAGCTTTGCCCAGATTGGCAGAGCTTTAGCCCTTGGAAAGCGCTCTGCTAACAACCATCTCTAAGCAAGACAAGACTTTAAAACAAGGGCCATTTAGACCCAAGATCCAGATCAGAACAGAAAACACAAGTCATACTTTTTTGACCTTGATCTTGTTACATGATAATAGAAATTCCCTCCTAAGGTTACAATGAGAATTGTCTACAATGATACACGTGACTTACCTGGCTGGTTTTCAATGTCACTGTGACTTCTCTTTCAAGTCAGCCAGGGTTTCAATGACTTTGCACCACTGTGGTATTCTTGGTAGCCCCTTGAGTTGCTCCTTTGATCTCGTATTGATCCTAATTAATAACAGTATTGCTATTACATATTATTTTTCATATATTACGACCCCACCTAATCCTACAATAATGGTTTGACATGTTTTATTTGTCCTCCAATTTAAGGAGAGAAAACACAAGGATAGAACTCACACTTGAGCACAACAGGAATTTGAATCAGATGACTGGCTCCAGCACCCCTCTGCTTCGGTGACCTCCAATACGACACTGCCCAGGACTCTGCCTGGCAATTTCATGACCCTCCAGCTACACTTTCTCCCTCCAAAGTCATCCTCAGACATTTCTGGGGGAAATCTCAATTTTTTCTTTTGCGTCTTCTCCTTTGACCAGCAAACCCATGTTTCCAAACACCAGTGGGCTACATCCCATGGATGTCTATCTTTCCCTGAAACTCAACCACACCCAACTTCTGGCCCTTAAGTACAGCCTGAGCCTCAGGCAGCTCCTCCCTAGTCTCTCCATTAGGGGACTAAATTCATCCTGTCCAGACATCTAGTTCAATTCATAGTGGCCCTGTGGCTCACACCCTGGCCTGTGGGATCCTGGAGAACAAAGATCCATCCGCAGTGCCCCTCAAAGGCCCAAACACTATAGACACAGCACTTACATCCTTCTGAAGCCAGTGCCCCCTCCGAGCTCCACTATGCTTTCTCATCCCTAACCCTTCTCTCTCCAACTGTCTCCTCACTTCCCCCACAGTCCTTTCTGCTCAACCAACTCCCAACTGCCTTAGATTGTTCACTCCCCAACATTCCAAAACCAACCACTTACCTCCTCCACCAGTAAGCTCAGGTCAAACCCCCCTTTGAATTTTAACTGTGCTCTGTCCCTCCCTACAGTTAGTTTCCAGTGTATATCTTTCCCAGTGAAGCATAAACTCCTTGGGGGCAGGAACTGTGTCCTTACTTTTCATCCCCACAACCCTGACCACTGTAACTAGCACACACACAAAAAATCTGACTTCATACATTTGGGGATTTAGTTAAACAGTGTCTGATTCATAGGGAGCATTTGCTTTTTAAAAACATTTTAATGACATAGAAACCTTTTTTTCCAGTATTGGGGATTGAACCCAAGGCCTGTGCACTGAGCTTTTTTATTCTTTTGAGACATGGTCTCATTAATTCACTAAGTTGTTCACACTGCTCAAACTTGAATTACAGGCATGCATCACCACACCCAGCCTGACAAAGAAACTATAAAATTGCTCAATCACAACCTAGCCCCCATCCCACATTACAGTGGCATGCTTTTATTAATTTTGTGTCCACCAACATGTGTTGACTTGCATAAATGAATGACAGAGCTGTTGAAGGTCAGGGAAATTCAAACTCCAATACTAGAAACATCTAGAAAGATTATGAAAAGCACTGTCCTGCAGCCCATTTCCAAGGTTTACCAAAAGAGAATCTCTGGAAAAAGGGCAGAGAGCTTCTATTTTTATTCATTTGTATTTAATTTTTATTTTTCCTTTCAAAGTAATTTTCAGATTTACATAATAGTTGTGAAAATAATAAAGTTACCATATACTCTCACCCAACTTCCCCAACGCTATGATCAAAACCATTAACGCAGTGATCAAAACCAGAAATTTTACAGTGATACAGTAATCTACAGACTTTATTCACATTTATCCAGTTGCTCATCAATGTCTTTGCATGTTCCAGGGTCTCACTTGGATTTATAGCTTGTTGAAATTTATACCTTGTCTGGCAGGGTTAGGGTTCCCCACCTTTTGTTGTAGCTTTTCCCTGGCTATTTACCATGTTTATTTCCCATATCCATTGATCATCTCCATTGAAACAAAGCTGTTTGTATTTTTATAGTGTATTAAATTTATAATTTAAGTTGGGGAGAATTGCCATCTGCATGATGTTGAACTGTGATACCACACGGAATATTTTCCCTCTTTGCCTATTTTCTGTCTCCTGGAAGTGTTATAAACTTTCCTTTTATAGATTTTGCACATTTCTATTGTATTTGGTTTTTGTTGTTGTTTGTTGCTTTGTGTTGTGTTGGTTTTTTTTGTTTGGGGTAGTTCTGGGGATTGAACCTGAGGCATCACAAATGCTAGGCAAGCACTTCACAACTGAGCTATATCCTCAGTGCTTTTTTAGTTTTTTGGACAAATATTAGAATTTGTTTTATTGTGTGACATTTGCATAAGGAAAATTATTGTTGTAAACTGTAAGGCATCATGCAATCACTGATAATCTAATTATTAATTGCCCACATAAGATAACTGGGCATGTAATCTAAAATTTGAAAACTGGTTCCAAAAAAAGTACAGGAAAATTTAACATAATGAGCACTTAAATATGATTTATATTTGGACTTTGATGTTGTTAAAATGTGTTTCAAATGTACTTCTGGAAAGTTGTTCTTCATAAATGGTGCTGGGGGAAATGTCAGATTGTAAACTGTAAAAATATATCGAATTAGAAAGCTAACATTGTGATTTATTCAGTTTCAATTCTCAAATTAAGTTGATATCCCATTAATACTTTAAAACTATGTACTTTCGGGGCTGGGGATTTAGCTCAATGGTTCTGCTGCCTGCCTCACAAGCGCACTGACCCAAGTTCAATCCCCAGTACCAAAAAAAAAAAAAATCTACTTAAGACCAACAAAAGGCTACTAAATTCAAACTATGCTTGCAGAATGATCAACCTCTGAGAAAGCCTGAATGCTGAGACCTGGAACCAACCCAGGTTGGTGTTATTAATGTACTGCACACTATCCAGCAGAAGCCCTGTCCATAACCTCATCTTTTTTTTCTTTTCTTTTCTTTCTTTCTTTTTTTTTTTTTTTGCATTCCCCTCCCCTTTAGGGTCTTGCTAACTCACTAAGTTGCCCAAACTGGGTTTGAACTTGTAATCCTCCCCTCAGCCTCCCAGAGGGTTGGGATTATAGACATGTACCACCATGCCGGATATAACCTTGTCTTTTGAGCAGACTGCACATGAAAACTTCTAATGCCCAGGTACCTAAGGCTGTCAGTGACAGGTGGCCCTTTCCTGACATCTGACCATATGAACCAATCATCTGTCAACCTCAGGTCTGTCCACCACATTCCCAAAACCAGTATAGGCACATGAGCAAATGAGGATAGGCACATTGATCCTAATACCCTTTCATAGTCTGCATAATCCACCAGAAATACAAAGCCATTACTATCAGAAAGATAGTTTTTCCCATACTCTTCGGGCTTGAACATATCCACCCAGATCAAAAGTTGTAAAAAGTATGCAATAGTCAATTCTGAAGTGGGATGTAATGTTGGGACATGTTGTCCAAGTCTGTCATCTTTTAGCAATGTTATTTTTCCTGCATTATCCAATCCAAAAAATACCAATTTACCAGTTTTCTTGTATAATCCTAAAAACTGTTGCACACTGCCACAGCCACTGTAAATCCAATCAAACATGAAGGAATATCCAAATCTTATAGGGTCTACAACTAGAGCAAACATAATTCAGCCCTAAACCCACCCTCTGAGACCAAACTGAAAAGTGTTATGGATGCATCCTTTTTCTTTTTTTTTTTTTTAAGACAGAGTCTCACTAAGTTACCCAGGTTGGTATCCAACTTGCAATCTTCCTAGTTCACCCTTCCCGGCATCTGAGATTACAAGTATGCATCACCAAATTCAGCAGATTTTGCACATTTCTTATTGTTTATTCCTAAATATTTAAAATTTTTGCTATTATGTGTAGGGTTTTCTTCCTTATGTCCTCTAAATATTTTTTGTGTATATAAAGGATATTGGCTTCTGTATGTGAATTTTATACCCTGCTAGTGTATCAGTACATTTGAATCTCTAGAGTTCTAGTTATACAACTACATTTATTTGCTATTTGCTAGTGGAAAGAGTTTTACTTCTTCTTTACCAGTTCTTAAGATTCTTATTTCTCTAGTCTAATTGCATTGGCTAACATGGCTAGTACAATGATAAATATTAGCGGATTTAATGGACATGCTTGCTTGTTCCTGATCTTACTGGAAATTTCTTATGTCTGTAGTATTTTCCTATAAAGTAAGGGAAGAGATCTTTAAGAGATGATTGATAGATAGATAGATAGATAATCTGTCAATAAGAAGGTATTGACCAATTCTAATTTTCTTTAATTTTTAAAAATCAGGAATAGGTATTAAATTTTATTGAAAATTTGATTTTAAATATGGAGTTCCTTATTAAAATATTTCCTAACATTGATCCAATATTACATCCCTGGAATATTCCACTTAGTCCTGGTATATTATTTTCTTAATATGGTGTTGGATTAATAATATTTTATTGGTATTTTGCATTGATACTCATAATTTACATTGACTTTTAGTTTTCCTGTTGTACTATTGTTGTCAGGTTTAGGTAACAATGTTATTCTTGCCTCATTAAAGTTAGGAAGTTTATTATTTTTTTTTTCCATCTTTATTATTTTCAATCATCTAGAACAAGTAATAAATAGATCATTGGAGCTATCTGTTCCATGAAGTTTTGATAGAAATCTCCTATGAAAATGTCAAGGTTGAAAAATAAATAATAAGATAGATAATAAGAAGCAGGGAGATAAATCTTTTACAGATGGGGAAGAGAGCTAAAGATGGAGTGAAGGAAGGGAGGAGGAGGGAAAGGGGAAGTAAAAAAAATTAAGGTATGTTATGTACATATTCCAAATGTAATCATTATGTGCTATAAACAGGTACTTACAAAACTTAATTTTTTTAAATTACACAAGACTTTAGTAAATACTTTAAAAAGATAATAATTTTAATGACATTACATCTACAGACTCAAGGGCACAGGAAAATAGAATGGGCTTGTTTTTATATTCACCTGAACACATGCTCTGTAATAACTACACAAGTATCATAAACCGACAAAGAACAAAAAGGAAGAAAGATAGTGCTTTAATTTTTAAATAATTTTTTTAAAAGTTTATTATAAAACATTTCGAGCCTATGCCAAAGAAAGGGTAGAATAATAAATCTCTATTACCTGTCACTTAGCTTCAACTGTTACCAATCTATTACTATTACCAGGCTTGTTTTGTCTATACTTTCTCATCTCTTGCCTCTTGATGGCTTTGTTTTGTTTTATTTATTCTAATTTTTAATATTTTATTTTAGTATCTGATTATTTTTAAATGACTTCATAGTAGTATAACAATACCATAGAATATTATTTGTCTCTAAAAATAATGAAGTATGATACATACCACTATCTGAATAAATCTTGAAAGCATCATGTAGAGTGAAAGAAGCCAGTTACAGAAGACTGCATATTGTATGATTTAGTTTATATTAAATGTCTAGAATGGCCAAACCTATAGAGACAGGATTTATGCATTTGTGGTTGCCAAGGAGTAGAGGGATTGTAATGAGAAGTGACTGCTAATTCCTATGAGATTTCTTCTGGGGATGACGAAATGTTTAAAAATTGATCGTGGTGATGTTGCCAATCAGCCTAGGGTTCTTTTGCTCAACTCAGATGGAAATGGAAGTGGTAATTCAGCAAAGTGCAGCTCTTCTCACAGTCCTGATGTCACCAGATAACACCAGATAATGCTGGATGCCAACAGCTGACACAGCCACCTATTGATCACTGCCAACTTTGGCTGTCACCACCCAGTGCCAGCTTGTGGTGTATACCATAGGTCAACTCTACTGGGTGCTGTGTCTCTGCCCCTGGCTCTGTGTCTCTGCCCCTGGCTCTGT